CTCTGAGACCAGTAAAGACCCCAGTCCTTTTAGACAGTATAGACACCAGTCCTCTGAGACAGTATAGACACCAGTCCTCTGAGACAGTATAGACACCAGTCCTCTGAGATAGTATATGTTGCCTGTATAGGGGGTGGGGCTTGACTTCGGGTCTACTTCTGCTGCCAACAGTCATAGCTCTTTAGTCCCAAAGGAACCTCATGTTTTGATGGAGACATTTTTTTTCCAAGAGGAGTAGAAACAATTCTGCATTTCTGATGGATGGAACCTTTTATCAGAACCAAGAGTCCAATTGGTACCATTTTGTTTTACAGTCAGAACCAGAGCTGTCAGCACTGGACCGCTCAGAAACACAGGCTGTCTGGTCGCTGGGTTTCATCTCCAGAGGCTTTTCTGTGGGTGGGGGTGGGGGTTGGTGAAAAGTCCCAGCGTCAGCAAGTTGTATTGATTAAAAACTAACCTTCCAGTCTTCTCCTCTATCACTGCACACACACACACACACACACACACACACACACACACACACACACACACACACACACACACACACTGAAATAGAATTACAATGAGTCAGGAGCAGGCAAAGTCTGAGGAGAGAGACCTGCAGATCACACACACACACACACACACATACACACACACACGCACACACACGCACACACACACACACACACACACACGCACAAAGGAAAAGTCCAAATCATGTCCCCTCTTTCCAAACTCAATAACTATTTCTCTAAATAGTTCGTGTGTGTGTGTGTGTGTGTGTGTGTGTGTGTGTGTGTGTGTGTGTGTGTGTGTGTGTGTGTGTGTGTGTGTGTGTGTGTGTGTGTGTGTGTGTGTGTGTGTGTGTGTGTGTGTGTGTGTGTGTGTGTGTGTGTGTGTGTGTGTGTGTGTGTGTGTGAGTGTGTGTGTGTGTGTGTGTGTGTGTGTGTGTGTGTGTGTGTGTGTGTGTGTGTGTGTGTGTGTGTGTGTGTGTGTGTGTGTGTGTGTGCGTGTGTGTGTGTGTGTGTGTTTTTAAAGAAGTGTACTGTTTGACAGGGAGGAGAAAGTGATCCTGAGATCAAAAAAGAGGAAGTGTAGTAGTGGGGGGGGGGGGGGGGGGGAGAGATGAAAGTCACGTCCCAAACATGATGTAACATAAACTTGAACTTGGGAGGGTAGTGAGGAAGATGAGGGAGAGGTTCTTGTAATGTGATCGATTGACAGCAGCCAATCAGAGTGCAGCACAATCAATACTGACCAATCAGAACTAGAGGACACAAGGGTCGGGTGAGAGAAGAATGGCGGTGTGTCTGGGCTCTACAGGGGGTCCTTTCAGGTCCTGAAGTAGACTAGCAGACATCTGGTGCCTACAGGGCTCACAGCTAACCAGAGTTTAGGTAAGACTTTATAATGTTTTGTTAGTAAACATTTATAACTGTAAAGTATTGTAAGTGGTTACTTTAATAAATAGAATAGAAAGGTGTTCAATAACATGTAAAATTTCATAAAAATATAGATCATCAATATCATTGAGCCTTTAATTAACCATTGATAATTGGAAACTTTTTCAGCCGCTTATCGGGGTTTGGGTCGCGGGGGCAGCAGCCTAAGCAGGGGGGTCCAGACTTCCCTCCCCCAGCCACAAGGGCCAGCTCCTCCGGGGGAATGTAGCAGTAGCACCACTCCGCCCGCCTGCCCCAGTCCAGCCATGTTCCTCCCACACTGCTTTAGGAATGCAGACGTGATTGAGAACATGGGGGGTCTGTGGTCTGTGATGTCATGAGCGCATCTCCGAGCACATGGGCGGGGCAAAAGTGTGCAGAGAAGTTTGCGGTGTTTCCATTTTTAAACAAAAGTGACCTGAGCAGTCTTGCATTTCAGTCACAACAGACACTTTTCCTGTTTGTAACATTTGCTCAGAGTCGAGATGTGTCACGACGTTGCCCCCCTTGCCCTTGTGCCTTGGGCTTTACCTTGTGTCCACCTGCCTGTAGGAATAGCATACGTGGGTATGGGTGCTTTTAAAGCTCAATGTACTACCCTACACTTTGACCAATAAGATGTGAATTTCTATATAAATATGGAAATTCAGTCTGATTGGTCTTTGAATGTTTAACCAGAAGATTTAGAGTTCTTTGTTTATTCAGGGATTGTAGAACACCTCGTATTAATTCAGACGGAGTCAAGTTTATAAAAAGTAAGAAATTTATTTTCTAAACAATTAAAAACCTGACAAGTAGGAACACTTTATGTGATGGATGGATCTGAGTGGATGGAAGGTGAGGTGTGATGATGTGTGAATGTGATGTTATCAGAACCCTCGTATCTGGAGAAACTGAGTTCTGAGTGGGAGTGAATTTGTCTGCTATAACTATAGTGATGGTTTTAAAACCACATCAGATGCAATCTGTCAAGTCTACGTACCCTTATCGGAGACCCCCGTGGTAGATCCGGAATGTATGGAAGTCCGTGGACCCCAAAAGTACCGAAGTCTGTAGAAGAAACCGCAGTGCCGACTAGACCGGTCTCGAGATGTCTCCAGGTCACGGCAGGTAGTTATTTGCGTCTATGGAAGGACTCTTAAGGAGTTGGAGTTGGTTCCGTTTTATTCTGAAGGAACCGTTTGCGGTCAGCTGTAGCATGCAACAGGTTTGGACAGCTTGTAAAAGATGCGAGGGAACAGAGTTTCGGTCCGATGGCCAGTCCAGAGTTAGCTCAACTGAATCCCTCAGGAAGTGATTCTGTTTAAATAATGGCCATATTTTGGTTTACAGATAAATCAGAACTTGCCCTGTAAAGGGCTTTTGCCAACAAACTCAGATACACACCTCCCTCAGATATATGAAGATGCTGATTTTGTGGATAAGAAAATATCTATGTGCAGTGACGTTAACTTGCGTCATTGAGATATAGTGAGTGTGTCTTATCCAGTCAGTACGCTGATTAAATGCATGGGTCATATATTCATTTCATCCTTATTAACCTAGGCACAGATTAATCAAAACATTTCATTTAACCATATTGTCAATTTCATTAAATAATTATATGATTAGTTACTCATATTGTTCATCTGTCTTGTTCTGTGAATACAAACCAGTCTTAGAAAAGCGGGAGCTTGCGAGGGACCTTGGCCAAGCAACAGTATCTGTCTTGCAGATTGAAAGCACCAGTTAAGACTTATGTCTCCCAATGGCCAGATACTGAAGAGGTCACACTGTAGGTGGAAAAACTGACCGTTGCTGCAGGCTACGTGCCTCTTGATACCCGATTGGCCATCCTGGTGTGTGTATATAAGCCTTGTGTGTTTGTCGGTTTGTACCCGTTACTTCAGTTTGTGTTTACACCTGTCTACCATGTTGTGTCTGCAATCCTGACCAATAAAGAGGACCCATTGTAGTTGGTTTACCTAGCTGAAGCACCCATTCATCCTCCCTCACCTTCCCTCCACATCGTGACAAAATGTCCCACAGGACAGGTTATTGGACAGGTTTGTAGTAAACCGGTATACCGTACCAAAAGGCCAAGTTTTCCATCAAAATGACCAGAGGTTGGCTTTCAACTCTATGGCCAACCCCTTCACACGGGTCAATCTGACACCGTGGTGCCGACATGAACAGATGAACTTGAGTCAATATTCTTAACATCCTGCATGCACCATGAGTCCTCAAGGCTGCAAAACGCAGGACGTCTTATCTTCTACTCTCTGAATGAAGTCTGTCTTACCTGACATAAATGACTTTAAAACTTCATATAATCATATGGCTGAATGAACAAGAAATTTCAACTACACCAGATCAGTATTTGTTGATTTAGATGTTAAATCTATCAGTATATTCACACCTCATAATTATTAATGTTAAAACATTTGTGCTTCACATAATCTTGTTTTCTTTAGCTCTTCGTTGTACACGGTGTGATGAGGTTTGTTTTTACCTTGGCAGACATGTTTCGACATCACTGCCGTCTTCATCAGGGTAACCGCCGGATGTTGGTGGCGTCACTTCCTTTTATCTGCGGGCAGCAGAGGACGATATCGCCCTCTGCTGCCCGCGCTCTCTCTGCTGATCACAGTTTTCCATGAATGATCCAGTGTGTAAACTCCTTCGTCCCTGTTCATGGTCCTGGGTCCATGCCTCCTTATTTCAACTACTAAAGAATGCTTCTAATCTTCATAATATTCCCAAGGTGGAAAAAGGAAATCCTACAAACCTGTTTAACGTGGGATTTGAATGTCAACTCCTGGTCAAAGATAACACCAAGGTTCCTTACTTTGTTCTCGAAGATTAATTTAATGCCATTCAGGTCAGGTGACTGACTAAGCAGTTTCCTTTTCTGAAGTTCCATATTTGTCTCTGTTCCATATTTGGAGAGTTGGGTCACCCTAGAGAAGACCTAAAGGAAGACCCGGGACACGCTGGAGAGACTGTGTCTCTAGGCTGGCCAGGGAACACCTTGGGATTCCCCCGGAGGAGCTGGCCCAAGTGGCTAGGGAGGGGCTGCTGCCCCATGACTTGGCCATGGATTAGCGGATGAATGGATGATTTCATGTTGTCATCTATTACCTACACTCCTGGCTGAAAACTCCACCCACTCAATTACACTAATAAATTGCTTTTAATCATCTTAACCCTCTCAGCCTCTAAATAAGTTTTGACAAAAGGATGAACAACTAAGTCCTTCAGGGGTACTTCAGAGTTAAAAGTGCTCATAAACACGTGTGTGGAGTAACCAGGTAGGTAGGTTTTAACGCTGATAATCTGCAACGCCCACCTCCAGAGGGTTGAAACAGCTGCTTAACCCCCACCTGCTGGTGGTGGTTGGAGGGACCAGTGGCACTGATTGGCAGGTCCTCACTGGTTCAGACTGGTTCTGACTTGTCTGGTCAATCATGACTTGTCCTAACTGGTCCTGGTTGGTCCCCTCTGTACAGGAAACCAGGAAACATCATTAAAACTCTGCGTTCGTGACCCAGATCAGAGGATCTGATTCTAACACATACCTGTATGTTTTCACAGTGGTACCTGGGATAAGGACTCCTGAGGACCTGCCACCCAACTGTACAGCAAAGTGATGCAGTTTCCTCCTTGACCTCTGACCTTTGATACCCGCTGTGACTGAAAGCCCCCACCCCCATCTGCATGGCTACAGCAGATCACCCACCCACCTTGTCAGCTGTTCATCTCGGACTTCCTGTGGACTTCTGAATCTTGAGTCCACTGAGCCGGACCTGGAGCCCCACCACCACCCTTTAACCACCAAAGCTGGAACAGGCTCATAAATGTGTGGATGGGGGTGCTGGGGAGTTACTGAGCCATCAGTTTCCATCTTCAGACTGAATCTTAGTAGAAATTACGAATGCACTCTCCCATCACCCTTCCATATCCAACCTGCTTCCTACACTTATGGGTCAAAAACCACCAGCTAAACCTTCAACATACCTGAGCCTAGCACACCTCCTGGGATAGGCTCCACCCCATTTCATCCCACCCTCAAGCTGGGAGGTCTAAGAGGGAGGGCATGGACATAACTGGGATGAGCTTACTGGAGTCCCTGCCCTTTCCAATAAAAAAACTCCCTGGATTGCATAAATGGGCTGGGCTTAGGGGTGGGGCTGGGGTAATGGGCTGGGCTTATGGGTGGGGGTGGGGTAATGGGCTGGGCTTAGGGGTGGGGGTGGGGTAATGGGTGGGGCTTAGGGGTCGATGCTGATCTGGATTTTCTGCTCATTCCGGCCCAGGCTTCAGCTTCATGACTCATTGACTTGTCACAATTTCAGCTGCTCTTCTCTTTTATCATCCACCTGTGAAGGTGAGGGTGCAGCATGCAAGGGTGGTGTTGGGTGGTGTTTACAGCGAGGCAGGCAGGACAGAGAGCCATCTCTAAAACGTTACAGTCAAATCGCGAGGAAAGTGCAATGCTGTTGGCCCTGCTTGATAATCTGATTACCTATCTTTGTAAGATAGTTTGGTGGAAACGGTTCGTCAGAAGTTCTATTTTCTTCCAGTCCGCCTGCAAGGCAGGGACTCTAAATCGGGTCAAGACCCAACCGAACCGGCACCAAACCAGAACCCTTAGCTGTGAGAGAAATGAGGAGCTGAATTCACTTTAATGTTTCTTATTTGTTTATATGAGGATTGATATGAGAATCCCTTTAAGGAATATCAGTTAAACAATCAGTTTTTTAAGCATTTCTGTTATTTATGTACTTAAAACAAAAAGCGCTAAGCGGCTAACTTATTCTACTGAGCACTTCGTTCTTGTAAACGGACATGAGGAGAAAATCTCTGAATCTAATCGGTAACAGGCTGTCGTCTGAGAGGCAACCAGCCAATCACAAGTACTTGTTCTTGTGATTGGCCAATGGAGGATGTGTCGCTTCAGTTTTCTATAAATATACACAAATACACACACACACACCTCCAACAGCGTTAAAGAAAAGTGAATTTGAGTGAAAATGTCTTAAGTGCATGTTGTAGTGTTAGTGCCAGTGTTCCATAGATGTTGTTTTATCGAGACAAAGTCAGGCTCCCCACAACAGGCTCCTGGCATCACAGCCCTAGCGCTGCTGCAAACCCCGCTGCTGCAGTTCTAACGCAGCTGCAGCGCTAACACTGATGCTGCAGCGCTAACACTGATGCTGCAGCGCTAACACTGATGCAGCTGCAGCGCTAACACTGATGCAGTTTCAGTGCTAACACTGGCGCTGCTGCAAACCCCGCTGCTGCAGTTCTAACGCAGCTGCAGTGCTAACACTGATGCTGCAGCGCTAACACTGATGCAGCTGCAGCGCTAACACTGATGCAGCTGCAGCGCTAACACTGATGCAGTTTCAGCGCTAACACTGACGCTGCTGCAAACCCCGCTGCTGCAGTTCTAACGCAGCTGCAGCGCTAACACAGACAGTTTCAGCGAAAACACCCACGCTGCTGCAGCGCTAACACTGATGCAGCTGCAGCGCTAACACTGACGCTGCTGCAAACCCCGCTGCTGCAATGCTAACACTGATGCAGTTTCAGCGCTAACACTGATGCAGTTTCAGCGCTAACAGTGATGCAGTTTCAGCGCTAACAGTGATGCAGTTTCAGCGCTAACACTGGCGCTGCTGCAAACCCCGCTGCTGCAGTTCTAACGCAGCTGCAGCGCTAACACTGATGCTGCAGCGCTAACACTGATGCAGCTGCAGCGCTAACACTGATGCAGTTTCAGCGCTAACACTGACGCTGCTGCAGCGCTAACACTGACGCTGCTGCAAACCCCGCTGCTGCAGTGCTAACACTGATGCAGTTTCAGCGCTAACACTGATGCAGTTTCAGCACTAACACTGATGCAGTTTCAGCGCTAACACTGATGCAGTTTCAGCGCTAACACTGATGCAGTTTCAGCGCTAACACTGATGCAGTTTCAGCGCTAACACTGGCGCTGCTGCAAACCCCGCTGCTGCAGTTCTAACGCAGCTGCAGCGCTAACACTGATGCTGCAGCGCTAACACTGATGCAGCTGCAGCGCTAACACTGATGCAGTTTCAGCGCTAACACTGACGCTGCTGCAAACCCCGCTGCTGCAGTTCTAACGCAGCTGCAGCGCTAACACAGACAGTTTCAGCGAAAACACCCACGCTGCTGCAGCGCTAACACTGATGCAGTTTCAGCGCTAACACTGACGCTGCTGCAGTGCTAACACTGACGCTGCTGCAAACCCCGCTGCTGCAGTGCTAACACTGATGCAGTTTCAGCGCTAACACTGATGCAGTTTCAGCGCTAACAGTGATGCAGTTTCAGCACTAACACTGATGCAGTTTCAGCGCTAACACTGGCGCTGCTGCAAACCCCGCTGCTGCAGTTCTAACGCAGCTGCAGCGCTAACACTGATGCTGCAGTGCTAACACTGATGCAGCTGCAGCGCTAACACTGATGCAGTTTCAGCGCTAACACTGACGCTGCTGCAAACCCCGCTGCTGCAGTTCTAATGCAGCTGCAGCGCTAACACAGACAGTTTCAGCGAAAACACCCACGCTGCTGCAGCGCTAACACTGACGCTGCTGCAAACCCCGCTGCTGCAGTGCTAACTCTGATGCAGTTTCAGCGCTAACACCCATGCAGCTGCGGCGCTAACACTGATGCTGCTGTGATGCTAATGCGGTTGAGTTCTTTAGACTCTACCAGACGTCCACTAAAAGAAACTCGGGCCTTTCTTGCTCTCCGGGTTGTAAAGTCCTTCAGCGTTCTAGATAATGGATCAAAGTCGAGTTCTTGCAGGTTTTTTCTGGTTCTGTTTCAGGTCTGTCTGTTCTTCCCGTCACTCTTGTGGTGGACATTAATTTGTGCACTAGATGTGAGACAGGATAAAACAGCAAAGGGAATTAATCTTTAAAAAGTTGCACAGATATTCTTCTTAAGTGTCAAAAATGAAAAGAGGACAGGAACCGGTCCACTAGGGGGCGCGTGGGTTGAGCTAACGGATCTACAACAATAGTTCAGGTGGTGACTTGAGCCTCCATGTTCTGCAGTCTTTAGCTTGGCCTCTACAGAGCAGCACTGCTGGGTGCCACCAGAACCGGCCTCTCTAGCTCTATAGTTTAATGAAGCTGCATGTTTTCTAACGCAGGACTTTTGTAACGACGGTGAAATGAGGTGTTGTAACTTTTCTGACTGTTTGTATCAAGGCCATCAGAATCGGTCTGGTTTTCTGTCTAGGATCTGGAGCTGAGGTGAATACTTCCTGTTTGTGTTTTTTGTTGTGTATTTAAGGACTGTTGTTGGTTTGTAAAGTCCACAACCAATCAGAACCTTGTTAACTGTTCTGTATGTGTCAGAGCCAATGAGGATGGGTTTAGTCAGGAGGAACCATCTCAGCATCTTCTTTTGTGTTCTCCATCCCACGCAGAACAATAAACAGCTTGATTACAGAACATGATTCTTTTTATTTTACATCCTCCATCCCCACCCCCCACCAATAACTATCTCTGTAACCAACCTCCACCACCTCAACCAGGACCAGCAGATCTCCTCTGGACCTGGAGTTCAGAAGGGGGCGGGGTCTCAACCATCCAACCTGAGACTCAGAACCTTGATCTACCACCACCTCCCTATGCTGGGTGTGCATCTGAGAGGTTCTGATGTCCCTGCCTTCATTGTTTGTGTGTTTGTTTCCTGGGTCTGCCTCCCACCCACCCCACTCCACAGAACCGGGCCAACCTGTACTATCCATGAATTCTCAGTTTGATCAGAACCTGAACCAGATGGAGTTACAACAGGAGTTTGATGCCCTGAGCGACCCGGTGAAGAGAGCAGGTGGTGATTGGATGAGGCTGGTACCAGATCCAGATCCTGATCCTCATCCATCCGGAAAACCCAAACCCAGGAGGAAAACTGGGCTAATCCAGACTCTCCATCTTGCTTCTTGCAAACAGCCAATCACAGCAAGGTCTAACCTGCATGAGAACTATGCACTGACTTAAAACAGCCTCCACGTGCACGTGAGCCGCAAAGGGTGCACGTGAAGATTCTGTTATTTCCACCTTGTGAAAGGTTCTGACTCTGCCTTTGGTTCTGAGCCACCCCAACAGAACCCAGCTTCAACAGACCGAACATGTGAAGACTAGAACCCAACCAGCATATTACTGATGTATCAAATGTAGTGCCTGTGAAACTTGTATCCTAACCCAAAACCAGTACTGGGACTGGGACTGGGCGGTACTGAACACCAGTAGCCTTCTGTCCGCCAGGCCCAGGCCCGTCCCATCAGAACTATAACTGCATGAACTCCATAATCTGCCGTTACGTGAAGATACAGACTCAAAGCCCACCCCCCCACCCCCACCCCCACCCACCCCGTGTCTCTGACAACTCAGGCTGTACACACTGACAACTGCCCCAAGTTACTGGAGACACTCCCACCCACTCAAAGGCTTGCAGGGTTTTACACAGACACCCCCCCCCCCGCCCCCACCCCACCACACACACACAGCATCACCACCTCCTCCCCATCCCCGTACATTGACCAGCTGCAGCACCCACCTCAGGCAGTTTCCAGCTGCAATCAATGACCTCAGCTGCTTTCTGCAGTGTTCAGCATTATCTGGTACACACACACACACACACATTTGTACACACACACATTTATACACACACACACACACACATTTATACACACACACATATACATATATATGTGTACAAATATATGCATATATATAACATATATATGTGTGTGTGTGTATATATATATATATATATATATATATATATATATATATATATATATATATATATATATATATATATGCATATATCTCTGTATATATATGTATATATATGTAACATATAAATACATATATGTTATATATACATATATACAGAGATATGTGCATATATATATATATATATATATATATATATATATATATATATATATATATATGCATATATCTCTGTATATATATGTATATATATGTAACATATAAATACATATATGTTATATATACATATATACAGAGATATGTGCATATATATATATATATATATATATATATATATATATATATATATATATATATATCAGGCAACAGCTCTTGGAGATCAACACCTCCCCCCCACACACACACACCCCACCCCACCCCGGACCAGCTGGGTCGATCACCGTCTCGCTCTCCCCATCAATGAAGCTCTACTCTTTCAGGCAGGAAACTTTGTTGATGACCAAACTGTTTTCGCTCCACTGCCCCCCCCCCCCCCCCAACACGAGCTGAGACATCTGAGATCTCTATAGAGCCTTAATAACATGTATAACTTTAACCTGTGAAGAGGAGCGACAGAACCTCAGAGGTTAAAGGGACTCTTTAGATTATAATAAATAAGTTACAGGTGACTAGTTTATCTATCAGTGATAATAAAAGCAGTAGATTTCATTCATGCTATCACAGAGGGTTAGGGTTAAGTCTTTGGTCACTGGGCAACCCGCTCTTCCTCCCAGGCTACTATTTTATTTAATATTACTAGTTTATTTATATTTACTGGTTTATTATCTTGCTTTTATCATTAGAGTATTATGACATCGCTTATATTACTGGTTTATTGGTATATAATAATGGACTGAATCTTGATTCTTGATCACATACAGATAAAATTTGTTTTTATTTAAACATTTCAACCTAAATGTTGTTTTATTGGAGCTCTAAATATGTTTTTGTGTCTTTTTTTCTTCTGAATCTTGGTTCAGGTTTGATCTTTTTCTGATTCTTTTTCTGTCATTCAACAAAGAAAGTTCTACAAAAACACTGGAAGAGTTTTCAAAAGACAGAATAATAGAATAGAATAGAATAGAATAGAAAGGGACGAGACGGGAGGGGATGGGACGGGACAGGACAGAGTAGAATAGAATAGAATAGAATAGAATAGAATAGAATAGAATAGAATAGAATAGAATAGAATAGAAAAGAAAAGAAAAGAAAGAATAGAATAGAATAAATCAGAATATAATAGAATGGAATAGGATAGAATAGAATAGAATAGAATAGAATAGAATAGAATAGGACAGGACAGAATAGAATAGGACAGAGTAGAATAGAATAGAATAGAATAGAATAGAACGAGATGGGATGGGACAGGACAGAATAGAATAGGGCAGGACAGAATAGAATAGAATAGAATAGGATGGGACATGAAAGGACAGAATAGAATAGAATAGAATAGTATAGAATAGAATAGAATAGAATAGAATAGAATAGAATAGAATAGAATGAGATGGGATGGGACTGGACAGGACAGAATAGAATAGAATAGGGCAGGACAGAATAGAATAGAATAGGATGGGATGGGACAGGAAAGGGCAGAATAGAATAGAATAGAATAGAATAGAATAGAATAGAATAGAATAGAATAGAATAGAATAGAATGGGACGGGACAGGAACGGACAGAATAGAATAGAATATAATAGAATAGAATAGAATAGAATAGAATAGAATAGAATAGAATAGAATAGAATAGGGCAGGACAGAATAAAATAGAATAGAATAGGATGGGATGGGACAGGAAAGAATAGAATAGAATAGAATAGAATAGAAGTTTTAGATCCTGAATTTTCATCACTGTGTTGGAAACTGAAACCAGGGGTTCTTTGAGAGCTCGTTCCCAGCCTGACGAGGTTCTGATTGGATCCAAGCACCAGTAGAATTATCACAAGCCATGGGTTTGATCAGCTTTTGCCCCGCCCTCCTGGAGTTGGAGCTAAGCATTGCTATCACACGACAATCCAGAGAAAGGAGAGCTTTATCTTCACCCCAGCCTTGCTGCACCAGGTCATGACTTGGAATACTCTAAGTCATGCTTTTGTATCCCATCGTGCCCTGCCCACTGCCCAGCTCACCATGGAAACCAGCTTCTCTATACACCCTACGCTCGGCCCCACCTCCCAGAACTGACTGAAACCTTGTGCCTCAACAACTTTACGGAACCAGGAGATGTTTTGAGCTATCTCTCCGGGTTCCAGTCTGCAGATGTTCTGTGTTCCCATCCCTGATTAGTTCCACCATCATCCGTCCTGAGTCTGGACTTTGTGCTGACGTTTCTGTGGTTCTGTATCTGTTCCTGGACTCCTGTTTCTGTAGAACCGCTGAACATCCTGATCATGTCAAACTGTTCTGGAAGCATTTCCTATGCAACCTGAAATAAAGATGCTTTCGCTGAACCCAGTGACAGTTTTGTGTTCATAACCTGGGGTGCCTGTCAGGTCTCTTTTCTGACACTTAAGATCACATAAAAAAGGTTATTTTCCTGCAGTACAAACAAACAATTGACTGTTAAAATACTGGACAACCCCTCTGTGACGTCACCTATAAGTTTCTGGGGTGCTAGTTTGAAGCCTTGTGGGCAGTTCCAGTCACAGCCATCTTGGCCAAGTCACACAGCTCAACTCCTCTGGACTTTGCAAAACTGGGCAAAGACATGGAGCTGAGAGCGGAACGCTGAGGATCTCAGTTCACCATGGCTCCCAACTGCAAGCTAACTGAGCCAAACTAAGCTAAAAAAGGTCTGCAGGCACATTTAGCCGGAAAAACAGTTGAGCGACTAACGTGAAGCATACATCAATATCAATCCACCAAGCTGCAGACTTTCTGTGGTATTGTTCTCAGAGCTCCACAGGCAACAGGCACAGACTGCAGAGACTGGAGCCAGGATCCTGGGCCGCATTAGCCAGCGCCCTGCTCCTCCACAGCGTTTGGAGATCCACAGGGGAGCCACCAAAGATGGTACCAAAATCTGTCTCTTTCCCTTCCACCTGTAGGCTCTGTTGGCGGTCTAGGGGTGCCCAATCCTTGTTCTGGAGGTCAGGTATCCAGTAGGTTGTAGTTTATCCCTGCTTCTACTACATCTATTCACACAAAAGAGTTTCTTAAAGGTTGACCTGAACATAGCATGCACTAGGAAACTGCTACGTTCCTCTAACGCACTTTCTGTAACAGGTACCAACTTAACTCACACGAGAATGTGGCACTCTAGCGCCGACGTCTCACACATGCTAGGATAAAAGCGTCTGCCAAATAAATAAACATAAACATAAACATGCTAGTGCAGGTACAAAAATTCTGTTTCTGATTCTGTCATTTCTGGTACCCACAGAGGGGAGAGGCGTTATGTAACCTTTAGGGACTCACTACGCCTTTTGGGGAACCATCTGGAAATGAGTGATGCCAGCAGGTCCACATGGTTCTCCACCACCTTTACCCCCCCCCCCCCCCCCCCCCCATTCCACCTCCATCTCTAGTCGTGTCTCCAGCAGTATGGATGGGCTGGGGTGTCCATGCCCTGGGCGGCAATTTGACAACAGAGGTGCCTATTGGGGCCAGTGGGGGATCTGGCTCCCTGGAGGGCTAAGCCCAACCAGCCATTCCTCCCCATCCCCGCATATTTCTCTCCTCCTGCTCCCTCACATCATCACACAAACATACACATAGGACCTTGGGGGGTGGACAAGTCAGGGAGTGCGGGCATGGACCCCATTTCCACATTCCTGTGGCAACCTGCCCCCCAATTTTATTTGCACCTTAGACACTTCCACCGACGACATTCCATGGGGTCTGGGGTGGTGGGTTGCTGTGCTCAGCGTTGGGCGGGGGAGCCTGCTCATCAGCACCCCAGCAGAAAGGGTCGAACTCTTGGAACCGGTGATGGTTGTACCCCATGTGCAGCAGTACCGGGACCAGAGTGAATAGGGTGTGTATGGGGAGCATGAGTGGGTGTCCGGCGTGCATTTTTGTAAGTCTTTGGTTGTATGTGCATGTGTGAGCATGAGGGAGGGTGTGTGTGACTGTGTTTGTGTATGACTGTATATGTCAGGTGGGGCCTTTGACTCCTCCCCTCTCCTGGGACTTCTTTTGATGATATAGATCTTCGTCTCCCCTCCCCCTGCCACACCTGGTGTGGGGTGTGGTGCCTTGGTGTTACTGAGTGTTCGTGGCTCCCGGGTCAGGGGGTTTAAGATTTTTGGCATCTGCCTGATCAATCCCGGTGGCTGCCTGGTGGGGTCTGGGTCCCTGGGCTCTGCTGGGTCCCCGGCGGGGGTGGTCGCCCCTGGGTCGCGGGTCGCTGGGTCCCGGGCTCGGCCGGCTAGGGGGTGCGAGGCTGCGGGCGGGCCTGTGGGCTTGCCGCTGATATCTCCCGGGACTCTGCCGGCTGCTGGTTGTGGCTCCCAGGGGCGATCCTCTGAGCCTCTCGAGGGGGGCGGGGGCCTTTCTGGTTGCAGTCTCTTTGGGGTTCCTGTGTTCTGGGGCAGCTCCTGGATCTCTGGGACTTGGAGCTCCCCCCGTCTCCTACACATCTTTAGGGGGCAGATCTGTGGCCCCTCACACTCTCTGTTGGACGCTCCTATAGAGAAACCTTACATAAACAAGCGCGTGTACACACACAGGTGCTCACATGGTGCTCTCATAAGTATGGGCTTGGGCACGTTCAGCACAGGTCTTAAGACTATGGTGGGCACTTAATGCACTGTGATTTATTATCGTGTGACTGTTCTGTAAAACAATGTTTATATATTTCTTCATCAAGTTGACGCAGTGATAGCTTGATCTTGTTGTATTGTTGTTGTGTCCCATTTTTTGTTTTTTGCTTTTTTTTCTTGTCTCTTTCTGCAGGTCTAGAAGCAGACTCTTGTTCATTATTGTTTATTTGTGTGGAACCCCCACCCCCTTCCCCCCTCTCCCCCCATCTTTTGTCTCTTCCTTTCTCTTTCACCTCCTTCTCCGTGTCTGGTCAGAATTATAAAGCATAAAAAACAATAACAATAAAGTTTTAAGCAGTGGCGGCTGGCCAGTAGAGGGCGATAGGGCGCCGCCCTCCCAGTTTTCCCCAGTGTTTTTAATTTTTATTTAAAAAAATAAATAAATAAAATTAACAATAATCACATATTCTAAGTTAATTGTGTGATTTGTAACAAAAACAAATCACATATATATATATATATATATATATATATATATATATATATATATATATGTGATTTGTAACAAAAACAAATCACATATATATATATATATATATATATATATATATATATATATGTGATTTGTTTTTGTTACAAATCACATATATATATATATATATATATATATATATATATATATATATATATATATATATATATATATCTCTGCCAAGCGGTGGAGGCGACAGAAAGGCTGTAGGCTGTGTTTCATTCGCCCAAACAGCACGGAAGCAGTCGGCCAATTGCTGACAAGAAAATCAAAGGGTAGGAATGGGAATGTATCCAATCAGCGTCGACGTTGTTTCAGAAGCATGACGGGCGATAGAGCTACCACCAAAGGCTTTCGTTAGTTCTCAGTAGAACTCGGCAGAGTCTCGACTACAGCACGTTTTTGGTCGTGACGCAGATGTAACAGACAATGAGACTTCAACCAGCATGGATACCGGATCTCAGCAGCCACTGAATTCAGTTCGGTCTCTTCTCCAGTATCCGTTCGAGAGGAGAACTATGGTGGAAAAACTTAATGTCAAAGAGCTTGGACCAGATCAGCCCGACGTAAAGATAAGCCAGCAGGAGGAGGAGAGAGGTAAACTGTACACACGAGGCTTCTGGGAAGGCTTGGCTAGCTGGATGCAATCACGCTAATGCGTTATTTTGCTTTCCAAACGACGGTGACAGATGAGGCATGGATGAGTCAGGAGTTACGGACATGAAACATTTTTCTGAGAAGGTGAAGAAACACGAGTTATCCCGGGCGCACATGGACAACACGGTGAAGCTAGCCATGCTAGGCAGAGCTAACATAGCCATGCAGCTAGAGACGAGGGACGCAGGCTTGCAGTGAAGAAACACAATGAAGAAGTGGATCAGAACCGGCACATTTTGTCCAAGAGAGCGATGTCAACACAGTGTATGAGCACAAAGATGACCTCCTCAGATGTTTCCAGATGATCAGAGACTCGGATGACTTTGATCCAGTCACTGAGAGAGAGGCAGGAGGCTTTGTGAGAATGCTGGAGGAAGAAGATTTGGGCTTTCTGCTGGCATTGTGTCACAAGATCATGCCACATGTGGACATGCTGTTCAACCAGCTGCAGAAGAGGAACATTGACTCGGTCTACATCACAGGGGTCATCCAGAGCTTCACCAACAGCATGCAAAAGATCAGGTACACACTTGTTTATTTAATATTATTGTGATGAAATTCTCCAGTATGTTAGTTTCACAAACAGTAATGTGGATGTGGACCATATATGGTCGTGTTATTTTATGTGCAATTTAATGCAGTATTCTTCAACCTTGGTCCGCAATGCAGCGTGCCAATAGTCAGACACACCTGGATTAATCCCTTTGTCCAATGATGTAAGACAGGAAATAAAAGAGCTGTGCTTAATTCAGGAAATAGTGAAGTTGTGCACAAAGCTCAGAAAGCACAAGTTTGTTTAAAAAAAATAGCACAGCCCCACCAAAAATATTTTTCACCAGCCGCCACTGGTTTAAGTATCAGGCGTGACATTAAAAGCAGACGCTTTGATGCTCCACCTGAGAGTAAATCTGTAAGGCTTGTCACCAGCATTCAGACATCAGTTCTGTTTGCTTCACAGCCAGACAGGACACGGTAAAAAAAGAGGGAGTTTTCCTCTCCACTGTCGCTGCATGCTTGCTTAGTATGAGGACTGCTGTAAAGACTCTGACACTAGTCAGCAGTGATTGGCAGTAACGCGTTAAATGTAACGCGTTACAGTAATCCAATTACTTTTTTGAGTAACGGGTAAAGTAAGGGATTACAATGGCAAAAATGTAATTAAACTGCCGTTACTTTGGTGCAAGCAGGCTGCGTTACTGCGTTACTCAAATGAGTAGAGCGCATCTCCTGACGATGACGTCTAAACGCGTGCGCCGTCTATGATAGAAAACAACAGACGAGAACAACGGAGCGTGACAGAGAGCATGTGCGTTCGGCGTTTGATGGTTGGAAGTGTCGCCACTACTTTCAGTTTGATTCTGTAAAAAACGACAAAAATATTAGTGTCCGCTGCACACTCTGCGTTGGAAGGAAACTTATCTGCAGCGAAAAACTCAACTTCCAACCTTAGCAAGCATCTAGCTAACCGGCATGGGAATGTGAAGCTCACCGAGAGCCCGACTGGCATCACAGCTGCAGCTGCTAACGTGGATTCTCCATCAGACGGCCCTACTGCTAGTAAACAGGTGAAAATAGATGTAAAACCCGCCGGACTTGGTGCCGCCGAACTGAAAAAGCTTGTTGCTAGCTATGTAGTGGAGGAGATGTTACCGATTTCCACTGTGGATTCTGAATCATTCCGACGCATCATAGACAAAATTCCGACTAAAAGTGGTGTCAGACTACCCCAGAGAAAGTCATTCTCAGAATACCTTGAGCGAGAATATGACATCATGAACTCCTATTTGAAGGCAACACTTGAAGAGGTAGACTTTGTTTCCACTACTGCTGACATTTGGACGGTGAATAACAAAAGTTTCTTGGGTGTAACAGTTCACCGGATTAATTCCACTTTACAGCGCAACAAGGCAGCTCTTGCATGCAAGAGGATTAAAGGCAGCCACACATTTGATGTGATTGGAGCAGAGATGGAAGAAATTTGTTCCACATACGGGTTGCATGGCAAAGTTGTTGCCACAGTAACAGATAACGCATCCAACTTCGCCAAAGCATTCAGAATGTATCAGTCCTGTGATTTGGAGTCTGAATCTGAAAACGAGGATGATGAGGAGGAACCAACTTTTACAGATGTCATAAATGTTCTGTCAGCCCATCTACAGAAGGTCAGTTCAGCCTGCCTCCACATTACAGATGTGCATCACACACACCATTAACCTGATATCAACAAGTGATGTTGAGAAACATCTAAACTCCAGTGCAGAAACCAAGAGTGTGTACAGGAGCAGCATGGCGAAGTGCTCTGCTCTTTGGACTAAAGCAAGTCGGTCGACATTAGCTGCTGAACAGGTAGAGGAAATCAGCCGCAGGAAGCTGATGGTACCTGCATCCACAAGGTGGAATTCCCTGTATGAAGCAATTTCAAGAATCCTCACTATACCTTCAAATGAACTTAATCCATTGTGTGTAAAACTGGGAATCAAGTGCTTTACTGAAAAGGAGCATCAGTTCTTGAAGGAATACATCGGTGTGATGAAGCCCCTGACAGTAGCTCTGGACATCTTGCAAGGAGATGAGTGCCCTTATGGAGCTCTACTACAACACTCACAAGCCTGATGTCAGAGACACGTGCCCTGAAAGACGACCTCTCTAAAAGGACAGCCACCCTTCCAGATGTCATCGCCAAGGTAAGATTATAAATTAATATTTTCATTGGATGGATTTAGAAATCTATTCATTTATTTATGTATTTTCAACACCCTACATGGAATATGAATGTTTTACTGTGTGTTAAGTAGTGTTTACAAATTTTAACATGATAGAATAAAAAACCTAACCTAAAAACAATTACTAATGATCATAATATCAACAAAAGATTTAAATAAAGTGGTCAGATTAAATAAAAATAAATGAATCTCATTCAAATTATTGTCACAATAGTCTAAAAGAGAATATAATTGTAAATATATAATAAAATACATAAATTCTTAGATACATCTTACTGTATGTTACAGGCCATCAAGACTCGCTTTAATGCTGTTCTGGAGAGCCAAGAAGGACGTCTTGCAGCGGCCACCTGTCCAGAGTTTAAGCTGCGTCGGCTGAGAGACGAGTGTAGCCGAGTGCAGGTGAAGGAGCTTCTTATCACAGAGTGTCGTACAACCGCTGCTGCAACTGCTGACGTGCCCCAAGACTCCCAACCTCCAGCCAGTCCAGATGAGATGGACTTTTTTGACTTTGAGATCCAACCCAGAGAATCCTTCTCAGCAGAAAATGAAGTAACTGACTATATAAGGTCAGGGCATGAGCTTGAGCTTCTGAATCAGTTTCCAACTGTTAAAAAGATTTACATGAAGTACAACACTCCACCTCCATCCAGTGCACCAGTGGAAAGGCTGTTTAGCTCAGGTGGATTGGTGCTTTCCCCGAAAAGAAACCGACTATCTGATAGAAGGTTTGAGAAGCTTCTGCTGATGCGATATAACCACTGCTTCACTCAAAAGAAAACAAAACATCTGGTACATTTTAGGTTAGTCATGATTTTAGACTGGGTCTAAATGTAGCACGGAACAGAAAAAACATGCTTTAACTGTTTTGGAGTCAGTTACATTTACAGGTTTTTGCTTGATAGATAGTCATAAGTCATAAAGTGAAAACATAATTGAAAATGATATTTTTTTGGTGAGCCATGTACACTGAGACTAGGTCTAAATGTAGCATGAAACTGAATTCTCTGTTTTGGTTGTTATGGCATTACTCTAAGTTCCACTTCACCAACTTCTAAAGAATTGTTAAATGGAATAGTGTATTTTTTAAATTTATTTTAGTTGTATTTCACTAGAATTTACTCTAAGTTTAAACGCTGCGAAAGTTTGTCATGTTAAATGCAGGTATGTGCAGAAATATAAGAAAAAAACTTGATTTATTTTTCTTAAATTGTGGTGAAATGTGCAATAAACAGGTTTATATATTAAACTAATTTCTTTGACTGTATCAGAGCCGGTTGCATTTGTTTATTTAGTTTTTTTCTTCATGCAATGTTTGTAAAGGAAAAAGTTAAAACCAATAAAAAAAATTAAGAACAGTTTCATGATTGAATTTTATATGATGGAATATACTTATAGCCTAGTCAGGTTGTGTTTCATATTTTCACAAAGTAACTAAGTAATTAAGTAACTAATTACTTTTGAAAATAAGTAATCAGTAAAGTAACGGGATTACTTTTGGGAGGAGGTAATCAGTAATTAGTAATTAATTACTTTTTCCAAGTAACTTGACCAACACTGAGTGACTCGATGCACAGAGTGGCACCGAGTGTCTTGTAAAAAGGGCTTGTGTGACAGGTCAGTAATAAATGTGTAATACCTGTTTGTGACACGTCAGTTTAACGTGTGCAACACCTGTTTGACACTTTTCTGTTACATTTGGTAACACCTGCATGTGACGTATCCGTTAAAAGTGTGTTTTAATCTTTGCAACACCAGTCAGTTACGTGTGTATGGCTAACAGGTTCGATCCTGGTTCCCACCAGAGAATACCTACTGCTGTTGTGTCATTGGGCAAGACACAAACGGCATTGCCTGCTGGTAGTTTTTACTCAGTGGAGTTAAAGATTCTGACAGGCCCGAGGTTCTGATTCCTCATCCAGAGGGAGCCAAACCTGTTAGAAGTGTTCCTCTTTGACTGCCGGCTGGTTCATTTCTCTGGAAAAACATCAGAGAATGTTTGGTGATGAAGACCTCCCCCTCTTCCTCCTCCAAGGTTGTTCAAACACAGAGCTGCTGAAGCTTTAAAGAACCGGATCTTTAAATATGAACACATCTTCCAGCCGAGGACAGATTTACTCTGAGAGGTCAACATCTCTCCGAGGATGTGGCTCCTCCTCCTTCCATCAGGTCTTCCACTGCTTTGAAACGACTCCTCGGCAGCAGTTTCATGTTCTGTTCAGAAAACCGCAGAACTGGAGGAGAGCAACCTGACTTTGTGCCGAAAATGTCACCCAGTTTCTGAGAACACCAATAAATAATAACCTGTAGAACACACACACACACACATACACACACACACACACACACACATGCACACACACATACACACATACACACAAACACACACATGCACACACACATACACACAAACACACACATGCACACACACATACACACAAACACACACATGCGCACACACACATACACACAAACACACACACACACACGCATGTGCACACAAACACACACACACACATGCACACACACATGCACACACACACGCATGTGCACACACACATGCACACACGCACACACACGCTCACACACAAACATGCACGCGTGCACACGCACGAGCGTGCGCACACAAACACATGCACGCACGCACGCACACACACACAGATGCACACATGCACACACACGCACGCACACACAAACATGCACACACACACATACAGGTGCTGGCCAGTAAATTAGAATATCATCAAAAGGTTGAAAATATTTCAGTAATTCCATTCAAAACGTGAAACTTGTACATTATATTCATGCAATGCACACAGACCAATGTATTTCCGATGTTTATTACGTTTAATTTTGATATTTATAGGTGACAACCAATGAAAACATCAAATCTGGTATCTCAGAAAATTAGAATATTCTAAAGGCCAATGAAAAAATGTTTGTTTCTCTAATGTTGGCCAACTGAAAAGAATGAACATGAAAAGAATGTGCATGTATAGCACTCAATACTTAGTCGGGGCTCCTTTTGCCTCAATAACTGCAGTAATGCGGCGTGGCATGGACTCGATCAGTCTGTGGCACTGCTCAGGTGTTATGAGAGCCCAGGTTGCTCTGATAGTCGTCTTCAGCTCCTCTGCATTGTTGGGTCTAGCGTATAACATCCTCCGCTTCACAATACCCCATAGATTTTCTATGGGGTTAAGGTCAGGCGAGTTTGCTGGCCAATCAAGGACAGGGATACCATGGTCCTTGAACCAGGTGCTGGTGGTTTTGGCACTGTGTGCAGGTGCCAAGTCCTGTTGAAAGGTGAAGTCTGCATCCCCATAAAGTTGGTCAGCAGCAGGAAGCATGAAGTGCTCTAAAACTTCCTGGTAGACGGCTGCATTGACCCTGGACCTCAGGAAACAGAGTGGGCCAACACCGGCAGATGACATGGCACCCCACACCATCACTGACGGTGGAAACTTTACACTGGACCTCATGCAACATGGATTCTGTGCTTCTCCGCTCTTCCTCCAGACTCTGGGTCCTTGATTTCCAAAGGAAATGCAGAACTTGCTTTCATCAGAAAACATAACTTTGGACCACTCAGCATCAGTCCAGTCCTTTTTGTCCTTGGCCCAGGCGAGACGCTTCTTGCGCTGTTTCTTGTTCAAGAGTGGCTTGACACACGGAATGCGACACCTGAATCCCATGTCTTTCATGAGTCTCCTCGTGGTGGTTCTTGAAGCGCTGACTCCAGCTGCAGTCCACTCTTTGTGGATCTCCCCCACATTTTTGAATGGGTTTGTCGTCACAATTCTCTGCAGGGTGCGGTTATCCCTAGAGCTTGTACACTTTTTTTCTACCACATTTTTTCCGTCCCTTCGCCTGTCTGTTAATGTGCTTGGACACAGAGCTCTGCGAACAGCCAGCTTCTTTAGCAATCACCTTTTGTGTCTTGCCCTCCTTGTGCAAGGTGTCAATGATTGTCTTTTGGACAGCTGTTAAGTCAGAAGTCTTCCCCATGATTGTGGTGCCTTCAAAACAAGACTGAGGGACCTTTTAAAGGCCTTTGCAGGTGTTTTGAGTAAATCAGCTGATTAGAGTGGCAGCAGGTGTCTTCTATATTCAGCCTTTTCAGAATATTCTAATTTTTTGAGATACCAAATTTGGAGTTTTCAGTAGTTGTCACTTATGAATATCAAATTTAAATGTAATGAACATTGGAAATACATTGGTCTGTGTGCATTGCATGAATATAATGTACAAGTTTCACGTTTTGAATGGAATTACTGAAATATTTTCAACCTTTTGATGATATTCTAATTTACTGGCCAGCACCTGTACACGCATGCACACACGCACGCACACGCACGCATGCACACACACACACGCGCACACATGCACGCACGCACACACACACACGCACGCATACACACACACACGCACACGACTTCTGGTAGAACATCTGAGTGGGTTCTAATTGTTCTGATCCAAATGAAACAGGAAGAGCTCAGAATGAAAATCCTCAGAAGAAAAACACTAAAACTTTATTAAAATATATTCAAGTGTCATAAATTAAACAACAAAAGCAGGCGGAGCTTCAGGAGGACTTCTCCAGAGGTTTGAGCTCCTCGTGGTGAAGAATGTTGTCCTTTCTCTGCAGGGTTCTCCACAACGCTCCTGGAGACCTGCAGACATACACCATAAGAACCATGCAGACCATTTGGACCATCAGCACCTGACCTTCCAGAACTCACTCTTGCAGGAAGCTTGTGGATGTGTTCAGGGGTGTGGCTTCCTGTATGTCTCATTGGTGATGGACAGGCGGGTCAGTCGAGCTCCATAATAATCCACGATGTAGCTGGACCCATCAGCTGGGCCCACGATCTAACGGAGACCAGACACAGACAGGTCTGGTTCAGTACACGGAACCACAGAACAAACCCGTTTCACTTCGACTGTCTGAACTGTACAAAGAACTCTAGGCCCGTTTCTACCAGTACCGAGGCATTTCCATTAGTAACAGGTCTATGGTCACCCTGTTTTAGTACTCGTTTCCATGTAACTGCAAGCGTACCGAGCTGTACCGTCTGAAAAAATCAGAGACTGCCAGGCTACGTTTACACTGCAGGTCTGGGCCTCGTGTACCAACCGTACTCACTCACAGATCTGAGCGTATGCGGTGCGTAGGAGCTAACGTACACACTGTGTGGTATTCCTCATGTTGTACCTGTGTGGAAACGTTCCTGAACATCCGGAAAGTTCAGACCATGCGTAGGAACAGCATCTAGAGGTAGAACGGGGAACCGCAACACCGAAGGTCTCAGTCATCCACACACGTTCCTCATCCACTCATTATTTTAATAATTAAATAAATATTATGGTGGAACAACAGCTGAGTCACATGACTGGTGCTGAAACACCCGACGGGAATCTGACTTTGTAGAACGGCTTTCATGTTTTTGTAACGACAATTATTACTCTTCCCATTTTTGTGTGTCCAGGGTTTCCCTTACATAGGCGTAGCTGAAATCCCACCGCCACGCCTGCAAGATCCCAAGTTTTTGTTGTGCGCCGTTTCCCGAAGAAGCAGCGGGAACTACTATGTTGTCGCTTGTGATCACAGCCGGCAGGCAGCAAGGAGAAGTTACAGCATAAGTTACTGAGTCTAAAATTAGAAAGGTAGCAGTGGATATAATGCTTTGTGGTTTACAGGTTTAATAGCATTAAGATAAATGAGTGTTGACGATCTTGACAGGGTTTCCTCCAGTGCTTACTAGGCCAGGTTCTCCTCCCCACCAGGCTAAGCATCACTTATTCATGTAAAATTTATTTATTTTTTCATGTCGGACTTTAACCGCATCTAATACTGTATTACGGTGTGAGCGCAACAGCGACAACTTAAGATCGATGTGTGAGCAGCCTGAGAGGTCGGGTGTTTCATCTGAACCCTTAAAATCTCCAGCAGGCTACGCTGCACTAAGTATTAGCGCGCAGCGCTACATGTCTACATTAGCGACGTGACATGTCTCGGAGAAAGCATAAAAACACGTTGGACGCTTCTTCTGAAGCGGGAAATTAACACTTCTTCTTAAGCAGAGCACGATGTCGCCTCGGCTCGTTCACGGCTGAGCCGGTACCGGACTGAGCTCGATAACATTGACCCAGCACAGCCACTGGGTCGTTGGAGCTGCCCCGTGACTGCCTGATGGAAAACCAGCGGGTTTCATCAGACTTGTAGGTTCTTGTTTTTGCTGGGGACCCCCTGTATTTTACCGCTCCCTCCTGCAGTCTTCCCCTATTAACATTTAAAATGATTCTGTAAATCCGTGTATCAATAGAAACAATCTCTGCCTCTGCCAGCTGCAGTAAATGTAGACTCCAAATAATAAATAAGAGGTGCATTCATCTGTATCTCCTTTGATCCGCATTAGTGATATTCTCAGCACCAGAACAGTGAAGCAAAGAGAGATTCCTGAGTTTGTTAGTAATTTTATTTATTAGGTGCATCTAACCTTTTCTATTTTTCTCTGAAATGAGATCAAATCAGTGCTTCTATGGGTTGTCTCCTCTCTGCACTGGAAAATTTTACTTTATTTACAGACGCGTCATAATTTCTCCCCAAGTGGGTTGAATGTTTACCAGCACCTAACTTCACAGCGCAAACAACTGCCATTCTTTTGATGAATCACATCATCTCCTGTTTTGGTCTTCCCACGTGGGTTAACTCGGATAGGGGAACTAATTTCACTTCTGAGATGATGGAACACCTTTGGCAGATATTAGGGGTAAAGGCCAATTTCCACATTGGTTACCAGCCTCAGTCTTCTGGCTAAGTTGAAAGGATGAACCGAACGGTTGTCAGTATGTTGAAGAAATACGTGTCGTCTAATCACAGGGACTGTGATGTGAAGCGTCCGCTGGTCCTGATGGTTATACGGGCCACTCCTCATGAGTCTACAGGTGCCTCCCCATTTGAAATGATGATGGGTAGACAGATTACCCTTCCACTCCGCTTGCTCTATCAGTCAGTGGAGATTAGCGTTGCTCCGGCTTGCACTAACAAACAGTACTTGCAAAACCTGAAGGACCACCTGCCTGCAGCGTTTTCTTTTGCACAGACGAATCTGGGGGAAACAGCTGAGGGCAGGAGGGCTTACTATGATCAGAAGGCCTCACATTCTGAACTTAACATAGGGTATGAGGCCTGGTTCTACAACTTTGCTCCAATGTTCGGTCAGACAAAAGTCCCCGCTGGTACACTGGCTAAGAAGCTTTTGCTGAAATGGTCAGGTCCATACCTGATGACTGAAAAACTCTCTCCGATCATGTATCAGATTGAAATCACCAAAACTCACAAAGGCCCTGTGTACAAGTGGGTCTGCAGAAACCAATCAAACCTCACAAGGGTTCCACAAACTTTGATCCTAGATTAGAGTACTCAGCTGACATTGCAACAAAGGAGGATGACTTTTCCATCCGCTGGCTTTGCTATGGTTCTGGTTTGCTTGTCCTCATGGTTCTGGCTTACTTCTCATCGTGGTCCTTGCCTGCAGATTTCGCTAAGTGGGATTACAATTTGCTGATTGGAATATATATGGACTATTCTGCTGGGTGAGGGTTTGTCTTTCCTCACTCCTGGTGCTTATGGTGCCTTGAAACTAACTCTGTCTTCCTCTGCTGAGTCCTCAGGACCTCTAAGGTTGTCCAACGCCTCGTGGTCTTCTGCCCACGACCATCAAAATGACCAAAAACTTAACTTCTTCATACAGGTCAATCTGACACTGTGGTGCCAATATGAAGTCTATGAACTTGACCCGATATTCTTAACTTATCCTGTGGTATGTCAGAAGTCATCAAGGCTGCAAAAGATGCAGGACTTCTTAACTTTCCTCTCTGAATAAAGTTGATCTTTCCTGGCTCATAAAATGTCCTTATAACTTTGTAAGTTTATATCATAATAATTTTGTTGAATGGACAATATGTTTAAATCCAAAGTGTTGTAATAATGTGTCCAATACTCTACATTAATGAATGACGGGTTAACATGAATGTTATTATTGTAACACCAGATTAGCATTTGTTGAATTTAATGTTAACATATCAGTATATTCACACATCACTACATCATTACCAATGGTCAACATTTTCACTTCACATTAAGAATATAATCTCCCTAAGTGTCTGAGTGAAGGAGGGACGCCTGAGGTATTTTGGTAACGCCCTTTAAACTTGGCAGATTCTGATTTGTCTAAATTTGTAAGCAACAGTTTATAAATTAGAGCTCACTTCCTGAACTAACCAGTTTTCAGCCAGCTTCCCAGTTTGGCCGACTGGGTAAGCAAAGCTCAAGGGACCATCCTCTCTTTTGACTCAAGATCATAGCCTCTTTGCCAGCTCAGTGGCCTAGTGGTAGAGTGTCCGCCCTGAGACTGGGAGATCAGGGTTCGATTCCTGGTCGGGTCATACCAAAGACTTTGAAAAAAATGGGACCCAATACCTCCCTGCTCGACACTCAGCATTAAGGGGTAAACCACCAAGCGCGTCTGTGTCTGCAGCTCACTGCTCCCCCATGATATGGGTCAAATGCAGAGAACAAATTTCGCACACACATCAGTGTGTGTGCGACAACTGATGTGACTTTAACTTTAACTCTTTGCAACACTTGCAAGGGGCGTCAGATGCAACAACTCATCAGTTGTAGAACGCCTTGCTAGCAGACCCTGGTAGCATCTTATGGCCGGTGATAATTGAATTCTAAGGGAACTAAGACCCTTTGAGATTCCAGGAGCCAATCCATCTGGTGCTGCTAGGGATGAGCATGGAATTGTTTTGGTACAGGGAACCACATAACATTCCTAGCAGAGTACAGCTGCTGGATACCCGACTGTCTCTTTGACCTCTGACATTGCTGTGGACAAATAACCTTGTTGGCCTTTCCCAGCATTACAACACTAAAAACACCGCTAATGCTAACAGACATAGCAGGAATTTAAGAAACAGAAAAATAATGGAAATAGTGGTGGACGCAGTATATGTTCTAAAAGTGTGTCACATAATCCATATCATTATTCCATAAACTCCAGCCATCTCTGGTCCACACAATGATCATCTTTACATTCAAGGGGAGGTCGACCCAGAAGCTGCATGATTCCTAAACCAACCTGACAAATATTACCATGCAGCATTTGTGAGAGTGAGGTCAATACAATGTTAAAATGCAAAAATGAAATAATACATTTGAAAGAACTTTATAAATGTGTATATATGTCAAATATAATGAAAATGTCAAAGTAACGTAAAAGCAAGATGCATCTGTAAAAATCGAGCAGTCCATTGGCAGCTTTATGTCTTAATATGCTAATTGGATTAGTGCACTTACTCCATCATAAACTTTGGGTCCTACTGAAGATTTTTCTCAGTTTACATTTATCTCCAACCATTTTCAAACTACAGCCTTTTGAAATAGTCAAAACAGATTTTTGTTAAACTGGCACCTAAAGGATTACGTCTTTCCCCATGAAATTCAAAGATCTATAAGCTTGAATAAACACAGGATGTTCTTTAGGTTCTGGTTCCAGCACCAGCAGGTGTGTGTGCCGACTCACCTGCATAGCAACCAGAATGAAGTCAATCAGAGTCCCGATCCCACAAAACCCAACGGTGCAGAATTTTAGCAGACCTGCAGGAGAAAAAGTGTAAACCATCAGACTTTACTTGACTATTTATTTATGGCACCTTCAGCAACCTCATTGCTGCCCAAGGTGCTGAACACTAAATCAGAAACCTGCTAAACCAGTAATCAGCAAAAACACAAACATTAAAAACAATAAAAAGAACGACGATGATGCCAAGCTACCTCACTTAATGGCGGAAAGCTAAGACATAAAAGCGAGTCTTCAGACGGGACTTCAAAACCAACAGTGAAGGAGAATGGCCCACAGCCAGAGGCAGCTCATTCCAAAGTCTTGCACGCATCACAGAGAACACATCATCTCCCTGTGACTTACATTTGGAGCGGGGAACCACCAGTATCACCATTATCACCATTCGCCAATTCCAAACAGAGTGACAAAATAATTAAAACATCAATTAATAAGAAAAACAAGTCTTTTGTCATTTTTACTATTTATTTATTTATTTATTTTTAGAGATGTTTTTATGAACTCTTTCATTGAAATCTAGTCAGACTCCTTGTTTTCTCTGTCCATGAAGTCTGGCCTCCTGCTTCTGACACCGTCTTTGTGCCAAAGCCTCATCTGGGTCCTAGTCCTTGATCTCTGGAGAACACAGCTGCACCATGAGAAGATCTGAAAGTGTGTCAGGGCTAGGGTTGTCACGGTAACCGGTGTAGCGGTAAACCCCGGTAAAAAAGTTCACAATAATAATAACCATCTTGTTTTTAAAGAAACAACATATATTATCTCGGTGGATTACCGTGGCCGCGGTGTAGGCGCGGTGACCCTTACCAGCCACCGTATCATCTGCTGAAGTTGCCGGCGGCACATGCGCACTTTGTTGTTTACAACCAAAACTTTCTTTAAGCTAAAGCTGAAATAATGGCCAAAGGAGGAGACGGCAGTGCTCAGGACATTTATTATCCCTCAAAGAAGACAAAGTGGGAAGTACGGGCATCTTTTGGATATTTGAAGAATGCCGAGGGACAGTTGTCTGTGAAAGGCAGCAACGCTACGTGGCCATCATGATGTAGCCATTGTCTCACGACTCCGCCGTCTCCAGTTCGCCACTTTTCACAAAATCTTCTGGTTGCCACTGGTCCTGGTGGTTTTTCTTCCAGTTCGACGAGTTTTCCTTTGGAAGGCTGGCTGACTCCAGTTAAAAACCGCCACATTTCACCGCTAGTTTTAACACGAAGCTAACGGCTAACTTGATAAACTGATTGAATGGGATAGGCGGAAATGACGTTGGATGTGGTGTTCACGTTTCGCGTACGTTTGTGTACGTTGCATGCAGGCGGGAGGAGTATCAGACATCTATGGAAGATGACTGATAAACATAACTCATTTGGTGCAAACATTTACTCGCCAGGTGGCAGATAGAGCTCAAACATTTACTCGCCAGGTGGAGCAATTTGCTCGCATTTGGCGAGTGGCGAGTGTTAATTTCGGACCCTGTTTGTGTATGCATGAGTGTGCGTGCGTGCGTGCGTGTGTGTGTGTGTGTACCGAGGGCAGGATATCCCAGGTAGAACCGGTCTGCTCCCAGCCAACCAAGGAACAGAGAGAGGGCCACAGCGACTTTGTAGGAGTATCCGCTCCTGAGAGATCCAACAGAATTGTCATAGTGTAGAATTCTTATGAGTTGGTTCTGGATCTGTGTGTGCGTGTGTGTGTGTGTGTGTGTGTGTGTGTGTGTGTGTGTGTGTGTGTGTGTGTGTGTGTGTGTGTGTGTGTGTGTGTGTGTGTGTGTGTGTGTGTGTGTCCACCTACACATTCCTGCAGGCAACAGTTCTGTTGAAGCCCACCTCTTCCCCACTGAACCTGAACTCAGTTCCATTCAGGAGCCGACAGGTGACGTTAGGAGCTGGGAGACATTCCACTACAGACACACAACATACAAACACAAACGTTTACCATTAAATGGACACAAACAGGGAGATTTATCACAACATAAACCTTCAACAAACATGTCAGAACTATGAGCGTGCTCACAAGTGAAGGTCGTATTGACACGTTAACGGTGAACCTGCTGTGGTCTCGAGTATAATTGAACACTTGAGTTGTTTTCTGCAGCAGAACAAAGCTCTGGTGCTCCTGCTCCAGGAGATAGAGGCATGCCGGGGGTGTACAATAGGATTACAAGTCTTACTCATTAATAATTATAACAAGAAAACCTTTCACTTCTGTCTCTTCTAGTCTTGTTAGATCTCAGTGCTGCCTTTGACACAGTTGATCACAATGTTCTTTTAGAAAGACTTGAACATGTTGTAGGGATCAAAGGAACAGCGCTAGGCTGGTTTAAATCCTACCTGTCTGACAGATTTCATTGTGTAAATGTACATGACAAATCGTCTTCATACTCCAGGGTTACTTGCGGAGTACCACAGGGTTCAGTGCTTGGAGCAATTCTGTTTACTTCTACAGTGCAAACAGTAAAGGCACAAAATATGCGTGGGCAATATGAACGATATCAGGCAGAAACGATGTAAAATTGGGTAATGACAGTTTTTGGCTATATCGCAATACCGCGATAACACATGACGTCACTAAGATGTGCACCCTGCTGACATCGGGGCAACAGAATGGCAGTGAATGCAAGCGTGGAGTGGGCGGAGGAGGAGGCCTATATGCCTCAAGTGGCATATATTTGCCACATGAGGATATTTAAAAGCATGTCATTTTGACATATATAAACAGAGGAAAAAATATATCGCAATATATATCGTTACCGCACGTGCTTCAGATTATATCGCAATATAGATTTGAGGCCATACCACCCAGCCCTAGCCCAACATGTAAACATGTATAAAGCAGGCTTCATGTCAGTAACAGCAGTAACAACCTGCTGAACTGCTTTTACAACAGCAGCCAGGTCTGCTGTCATCAGCCTCCATCCTCACACTCCTCCAGGGCTTGGGAAGGTGATGGACTCGGGTTGACTTGGTTGCAGTCAGAGACGTTCCATGTTCCAGCTCTTAACATGCTGCCCTGCACGACCAGGTGCTTGTTACACTGCGGACATAAATCCTTTGTTAGAAGATAAACTTTGTTTATATATATTTATATATACATACATATATATATATATATATATATATATATATATATATATATATATATATATATATATATACTTTTTCATTTGTAGGACTCAGTTTCATCTCACACCAACGTGCATCTGGGTACAACACGTATATATATATATATATATATACACATATATATATATATATACATACATATATATACATATATATATAGGTATATATATACATATATATATACATATATATATATATGTATATATATATGTATATATATATGTATATATATACATATATATATACATATATATATACATATATATATATATGTATATATATATGTATATATATATGTATATATATATACATATATATATACATATATATATACATATATATATATATGTATATATATATGTATATATATATGTATATATATATACATATATATATACATATATATATATACATATATATATATATGTATATATATATATGTATATATATATATACATATATATATATATACATATATATATATATGTATATATATATATACATATACGTGTTGCTACCAGACGCACGGTGTGAGCTGAAACTGAGTCCTACAAATGAAAAAGTCGTGTCCGCAGAACATATAGCGGACCTCCGAGTACGCCTGCAGGAGAGACGTACATGTGGATGTTTCCAGGTGAGGTGCTGCAGCACGGAGGATGTGGTGTTGTGGTAGACTAGATCCATTTTACAGTATTTATACTGGAATCCGTTTTCCGCCTTACGATGTGAAAAATTGTCCCACACCTTTGACATTTTCTGTCTTTTTCGCTCTCCACTGGGGTCCACGTTGTCCGCCATGGCTTAAGAGAAAGTTAAGTTACATTTGCTACTCGCGTGTGCATTCAGAGCAGTGTGTATTTGCGTCACGTCTTTCGGTCTGGGCTCGGTTCGATTCATTTTCAGTGTTTTATTATTATATTTATTTAATATGTGAAGCGGCTCCTATAGTGAGCAGAAGCAGGTGTCATCACGGGCTGCTGATCTAACATGATGTCTATAATTATTTCACAGGTTATTGAGTGTCACGCTCATACAGACACGTGTGTTTGACTGTTGATGCTCCTGTTTTTACTTCTGCAGCGAGCCTTAATGGAGTCTGCTGGAAAAAATCTGGCCCTTGGACAAACCTTCTTGAAGACCCGTGCTGTAGGTCATGAATACTACCTTTGCCTGTCACATAGAACAGACTGGCTTTTCTGACCTGATTGTTTTCCCATCTGTTTCCTGTCTGTGGCTGAAGCAGGTGATGGGGTGGAAATACTTTCATGTTCAGAGAAGATGTGAAACACGGAGTGATCGATCATCTGTCAGAAACAACAAGTATGTGCTATGCAAACCACACCTTTAAACTCACCCCATGCTGTAGCATCCCTGCAGTTCTCCGGCTCTTGTGTGACTTCATCTATCTTTGGATCCTTGCAGAGATACGTAAGCAGAGTTAAGGGATCTTAGACCTCAGAACACCCAAACATGTCCCCAGATCAGGCTGAGACCACCACCTAAATAAAACCAGCCGATTCAGCATCTACTGGTCCTACAAACTGAATCATTCCTGCTGTTCACCTCATAATGTTGTTAAACGGACCAGAAAATAATAATCAAGCCTTCGACTAAGCAGGCGGATGTAAAATGCAGAGGTGATTCAGGTGAATCACAGATATTGAGAGAGCAAGTCACCCCCTACCAGAGTCTAACTCCACTCCCACTTCATGTTTGAAAAATGCAACACATGCTGTTGCCTGGCAGACCGAGAAGGCGGAGCTGCTAACAAATACACACACACACAGGCTCACGACAGCATTGAGACATCATAATGTACCAGTTTACATCATAGCATACCTCTTAGCCAATAGCGGTGGCAGATTTAAATTCAAATACAGTGCAGAGTTTTTACCTGACAACGGCACAACACTGCCAGTTTTAGGCAGAATATTTAAATTTTAACTAAGATGCACTGAAGTGCCAAATTATTGACGACACGTGTCTGCAGCACGATTAGACACTCGTTTATTTAGTTTATCAGCAAAAAAAAGTTGATTTGGGGGTGACTTGCTCTTTAAGGAAAATCCAGGTATATTTCTGGGAGGAAAGCGTGATCAGACTCAGAAATGGTGAATTCAACTTGAGCAACTTTAAACCCAAACAACCCTCCATAACATAAACAGTGATTCTGTCACACCGGGTCACATGTTGGTCACCGACCGGTGGAGATGTAGAAGTTCTAGAAGCTCTAAAAGAAGGTCTTGTATGAAAAACATGGTTCTCTGGACCAGGCACTCTCCTAGGGGGAACTGTGAGGTCCCACGCCAGGATCAGGTCTTCCCTAAAGGGGACAGTGGAGCTGGACACATGGATGTGAATTCATGCTTCATTAGAAGTTCGTTCACGTGAACTGTCCCTAGCAACGTACCTGGATGCTAACCTAAGCTAGGCTAACCGCCTCCTCTAGATCAATAACATCCCGTTCAGGTGAGCTGTGCGCAGTCACGTGACTAAAAGGATATTGTCCGAGTCTCAGGTGTTCGCAGCTGTCCAGCTGTTGGGCCGCAGAAACCTTGAAAAGAGAATAAAAACAAAACAACAGAAAAAAACACCTCCTGGAACGTAAACACAGCCGCTGTGGAAACGCCATGACTGGTCGCGTCACGTGAGGCGTTCGGAACGGTAGGAGATTACAGCTTCAGAGCTGTTGGTCCAGGCGGCGACGTAGCGGCGGCGCACCTTAGGAAAACTACAAAAAGTTTGAGTACGGATAGTTCTTCGTAAACGGGACCTCTGCTGACCTCGCCATGCTTGGTTTATTGGTGTAAATCTGCATCAGTTGCTGACCGTGTTATCTTTTATTTAGGAATCCAACCAGCCCCGGGTGACACCAAGGCAGCACTACACTCCAAAGATGATCATGTGTGCAATGAATGGATGCAAATATGTGTTTATAATAAAATATTGTGTATTTTACAGATTCTTTCTACCAAAGCATCGTACATATTAACCTATCACATGTTACTGATTTCCCTCAATCGTTTCATCTCTCCCTTTCCTTACTTTATATCACAATTTTTTCTCCCATTTTAAACATATGTTTACATCTTTTTTTTAATACTTACATTTTTTTGTGTGTGAAACGCCTTGTGATTTTGATCTTGAGAGGCACTATATAAAGATTGTTTTCTTCTTTCTTTTGTGTTTTAGGCTAGTTGCACTACTGAGTATGCAGGAGCTTGTTTTTCCACAATCATTTTATACATTAGATGAACGTAGGTAACCCCCCAAATGTTTCTGAAAACTACACATGGAAGACAGTCCTACAGATGATGTTTTTCCCTCTTTTTCTTTTACATTAATGACTTTTTGTCAGACTATAATTAAAGCGTCTTGTCTTCCTCCGCCAATCCAGGTCCAGGTCGCTGGGGCAGCATCCCAACTAGGGAGCTCCAGACCGTCCTCTCTCCGGCCACCTACCCCAGCTCCTCCGGTAGGACCCCAAGGCGTTTCTGGGCCAGATTGGAGATGTACTTTCTCCAACGTGTCCTGGGTCGACCAGGTCAGACCCATGGCCAGACCCACCCCAAGTGTGTCGTGACTCAGGCTCAGGCCCGCTAACGTGTCGGTCCCTCAACCATTGGATGGGTTTGTGTCTGCTGAACCAGTCTTTTCTGACGACCTTGTCAGCCTCCAGTCTCAGGACTCAGCTATCAGCAGGATGATCAGGTACCTTTCTGATCCTGTGTCTTAACTGCCTTCTTCCGCAGAACTCAATTCAGTTATGGAGCTCCGTGCTCTCTTTCGTGTTTGGGTCACACTGAGGATGGTTAAGGGGGCGTTTATGCATGTTTCTAAGCCTCCATTTTCACCTGTTCTTGTGGCGCCTCCATCTCTAAGGGGGGTGTGATCGTGCAAGCTCATGACTCTCCTTCGGCTGGACACAAAGGTGTCAAGGCCACGTTCGGAGCCCTGAGACAGGTTGCTTATTGGCCAGGGATGCGAGACATCTCGCACCACATCCAGAGCTGTTTGGTTTGTTGTGTATTTCAGCCCTCAAATCCCATCCACGTCTTCAGCGTGGTCCGACCTGCAATTTGACTGGGTGGGGCCTCTGACCAAGTCTAGCAGGGGTAACAGGTACTTGACTTGTGCATTCACCAAATGGGTTGAATGTTTACCAGCACCTAACGACACAGCACAAACAACTGCTGTCCTATTGATGAATCACATCATCACCCGATTCAGTCTCCCCGCACGTGTTAACTCGGATAGGGGAGCTCACTAGTGCCCTCCTGTGGCTGCCTGAAGGTGAAAGCAGAAACCCACTCATACAAACACCAGCTCCTGACACCGAGAGTAAAAACATTGTCTTTAAAAGAGCTTTAAAACTACAAACAGAATTTGTGGTCCAGATCTGCAATGGTACCTGGGCAGGTATAGAAAACACTCTATCCCCCCTAGACTTTAGCCTTGACGGCAGAACTCTCAGGAGATGTTTAGATAAGGATCTCATAGCTCTTGAGGGAGCATGAACAATAAGAAGCTCAGCCAAGTAAGAAGGTGCTAAACCATGAAAGGCTTTAAAACACAACAACAAAAATTTTAATTTTATCCTGTATTCTACGGGGAGCCAGTGGAGGTCCAACAGGACCGGAGTAATATGCTCTCTGCCTTTTCTCCCTGACAACAGACCAGCAGCTGCATTCTGTGAAACCTGTAGGCGATGGATGGAAGACTTGTCAAGACCATAATAAATAAAAATGTAATAAATAAGTTGCAGTAATCTAATCTAGACATGATAATCAAATGAATAACTCTCTCAAACTCTTTCGTTGGCAAGTAGGCTTTAACCTTGCTAAGCAATTTCAAATATAAAAAACACATTTTGAATATCAGTATTATTAATTGTTACTCAAATTTAAAGCAGCCGTTAAGGATAAAACCCAAATTTCTTGTGTACGAGACTCAAAAAGATTCCAGGGGCCCAAACTCACCCCTCACATCGTGCAGGTGGTCTTGCAGCCATATTTTAATGTCCCTAAGGGATAATAACAGTTTATCAAAGGATTGTCCTTGGGAGCTCAAAGGTACATAGATTTGTATGTCATCAGCAAAAATGTGGTATGAGATGGAGGGTTTTTGGAAAATTTCATTGTACAGGAAATACAAAGAAAACAAAAGTGGTCCCAAAATGGAACCCTGCGGAACACCACATTGAAGGGGGCAGAGGAGGAAAGTCATTCCACCATATGTAAAGAAAAGGACCTGTCACGAATGTAAGATGTAAACCATTTTAAAACCGAGCTCTGGATAAAATTTCATGATCCACTGTATCAAATGCCACCATAAATCCAATAGGACTAATACAGCAGAACGGCCAGCGTCAACAGTTAAAACAAGATCACTGACCACTCTTAGGAGAGCCGTTTCTGTGCTATGGTACGTTTTAAAACCTGACTGAAAATTCTCTAAGATGTTTTGATGGTCCAGGTAGTCCTGTAATTGTCTCTGCACTGCTTTTTCCAATACTTTAGTAAGAAAAGGAAGCTTGGAGATTGGCCTATAATTTGACAACACCAGGGAGTCAAGGCTAGGTTTCTTCAGAAGTGGCTGAATAACAGCAGCCTTGAAGGTGGTAGGAACACAGCCAGTAGATAAGCCTGTATTCACAATATCTAAAATCACAGGACCCACAGCATCAAAGACACTTACTAACAATGAAGGATGGATAACATCTAAGGGACCACAAGCAGGCCTTAACTAGCGAATCATATTTAAAGAGCAAGTCACCCCCAAATCACTTTTTTTTGCTGATAAACTATATAAACGAGTGTCTAATTGTGCTGCAGATACGTGTATTCAATAATTTGTCAGTTCAGTGCATCTTGGTTAAAATTCAAATATTCTGCCTAAAACTGTCAGTGTTGCACCATCGTCAGGGAAAAAATCTGCACTGTGTTTGAATTTAAATCTGCCACCGCTATTGGCTAAGAGGTATGCCATGATGTTAGCTGGTACATTATGATGTCACAATGCTGTCGTGAGCCTGTGTGTGTGTGTATTTGTTAGCGGCTCCGCCCTCGGTCTGCCAGGCAACAGCATTTGTTGCATTTTTCAAACATGAAGTGGGAGTGAAGTAAGTTTCTTGTAGGGGGTGACTTGCTCTTTAAAAGATCAGAGGGCGAAAGTAGCTCAAACAGGTCGAAAATAGCTGAGCATAAATTTGCTTCTGATATTTCCATGGGAGAAATTGAGGAAGATGGCCCAAGTGCTGCGATCTTGTCAATGAAAACATTTCCAAATTTTTCACAGAACAGATTTGATGGTACAAAATCAGAAGACTCACAAGGATTGATCAGGTGATTCAAACCCTAAAGAGAACTTGAGGCCTGTGGGAGTCGTTCGCAATAAGAGTTGAAAAATGTCGTCTTTGCATATTTCAAAGCATGTTCAATTCAAAAATACTTTATTAATCCCAGAGCGATATTCAAAGAGGGAATCCCTGAGGATATCCATACAACCATCATGTCATTCACATTTTCTCATGTACAATCATTTAGTTTAGGAAAATATAATTAAGGTAATTTTTATAACTATTTCCCTGACTGTCTGAATTCATGTGAAGTGCGTATGTTCCCTGAATGAGTCAAAGAAACTAAAGTCTTCTGATTAATCATTCAGAGACCAATCAGAGTGATATTTCATATTAATATGGAATATCACATCTTATTGATGATTTAATATATATTTACTCAATCCTTAAAACTACACCACAGCAGCATAACTACAGAGGTAACTCTGGATAATCTATCCTATTTAGATGGAGGCATGTTGGAGTCAGGGCGAGGGAGAGTCGTCTTTACTGACTGTAAAGACCCCATGGAATGTCCCCTCCTCGTTGTCTGTAGGCTAGCCTGTGTGTATAAATTCCCCTGTGTGTCTCAGCTTTGGAGAGTCTTGTTTGTTACTTTTAGTTAAGGTTATTTTTGTGGCCATTTTTTCCTTTGGGCCCGGTTTTGTTTTGATTTTGGTTAATTGTTTATGAAATAAATGGAGAAGATATTCTTTTTATACCATTGTTCTGGAGTTTTACTGCTCGGTCCCTGACAGTCAGCATAACAGTGGAAGTTTATCCCATGCTGTCTAATGATTTTACCAATTGGGAGCATATTTATAGTAAAAAGAATTGGTCCAAGCACTGAACCCTGTGGTACCCCGCAAGTAACCCTGTGGTATGAAGACGATTTGTCATGTACATTTACAAAATGAAATCTATCAGACAGGTAGGATTTAAACCAGCCTAACGCTGTTCCTTTGATCCCTACAACATGTTCAAGTCTTTCTAAAAGAACATTGTGATCAACTGTGTCAAAGGCAGCACTGAGATCTAACAAGACTAGAACAGACACAAGATTCTTATCTGAGGCCATGAGAATATCATTTGTAACTCTCACTAATGCAGTTTCAGTGCTGTGATACTCTCTAAAACCAGACTGAAATTCCTCAAACAGAGCATTAGTGTTTAAATGCTCACATACTTGGATGGCCACTATTTTCTCCAGGACTTTGGATAAAAATGGAAGGTTAGATATTGGTCTGTAATTCATTGGGTCATCTGGATCCAGAGAAGGCTTCTTAAGTGAAGGTTTGATTACAGCACCCTTAAAATCTTGTGGTACATACCCATTTACTAAGGATAGATTGATTATATCTAGAATGGGGGCAGTAACCAAAGGAAATGCTTATTTAAATAATTTGGTTGGACTCCTTGGACTTCTTGTGCTGCTACACATCTTCGTCTCCCCTCCACCCGCCACACTTGGTGTGGGGTGTGGTGCCTTGGTCTGCCTGAGTGTTCGTGGCTCCCGGGTCAGGGGGTTTAAGATTTTTAGCGTCTGCCTGATTGATCCCGGTGGCAGCCTGGTGGGGTCTGGGTCCCTGGCAGGGCTTGTCGCCCCTGGGTCGCTGGGTGCCGGGCTCAGCCGGCTTGGGGGTGGGAGGCTGCGGGCGGGCCTGTGTGGTAGCCTCTGATATCTCCTGGAAGTCTGCCGGCTGCTGGTTTGGCCCCCCCAGGACAATCCTCTGCGCCTTTCGAGAGGGGGGCGGGGTTTTTTCTGATTGCAGTCTCCCTGGGGTCCTTGCGCTCTGGGACAGCTCCTGGATCTCTGGGACTTGGAGCTCCCCCCGTCTCCTGCACATCTTTGGGGGGCAGATCTGTGGTCCCTCACACTCTCTATTGGACGCTTTTATAGAGAAACCTTACATAAACAAGCGCGTGTACACACACAGGTGCTCACATGGTGCTCTCATAAGTATGGACTTGGACACGGTCAACAGGTCTTAAGGCTGTGGTTGGCACTAAATGTACTGTGATTTATTATCGTGATTGTTCAGTTAAACAATGTTGATTTTGTATTTCCTCATCAGGCTGACGCAGTGATAGCTTGCTCTCGTTGTATTGTTGTGTGTTGTTTTTCTCTTTCTGCAGGTTTAGAAGCAGACTCTTGTTCATTATGGGTTGTTTATTTTTGTGGACCCCCCCCCCCCCCCCCTCCTTTTGTCTCTTCCTTTCTCTTTCACCTCTGTCTCCGTGTCTGGTCGGAAAATAAAATATAAAAATAATAATAATAATTTGGTTGGGACTGGATCTAAAATAGGCAAGGCAGCTTTATTTCTAGAGCACATTTCAAACACAGAGGTAATTCAGTGTGCTTTACAATCATCAGGACGTGATATGAAAACACAAATTAAAATCCACACACATAGAATTACAGTCTAGAGCTAAAGGAGAAGACAAAGTTACATCACAGATTACAGAGGAGACGACGCAGCATCAGAAACTATTCATGTAAAGGCTGATGAGTACATGAGGGTTTTAAACAACTCTAGGGTTGGGAAAGATCTGAGGTCATGGAGAAGCTGATTCCATATGTGAGCAGCATAGTAGCTAAATGCATCTCCATGTTTGGTTCTGACCCGAGGTTCTACCAGCTGGTTGTTTCCAAGGGATCTCAGAGCCCTATTGGGTGTTTATACAGGAATGAGACCAGACATGTATTTTGGCCCCATGCCAATGAGTGATTTATAAACTAGTAGTAGCACTTTGAAATCTATTCTGTAGTTTACTGGTAACCAGTGCAGGGATCTAAGAACAGGAGTAATATCATATCATTCATAATATTCCCAGTTATTATTTCCTGCCAAGGAAGGCAATCTATCATGTTAAGCTAACTTCATGATGTAGTTGCATCCACTAAACAGGATTATGTTCATGTGTTCATCAGCATGAAGTTATTGAAGTGATGAAAGCAAACATGGCTGGAATCAGTTGCGTCTCTAAGTGTGTGTGCTCCTGTAATGAGTGGGTGTCCCCACTGTGGGACTAATGACATTTACTCTATTCTATTCTATTCTATTCATTCATTCATTCATTCATTCATTCATATCAGCCAGTAGGGAAAAAACATTTGAGGAATTTAGGCCTTTCCAGGCTTCTGTACCAGTAACTTGGTCATGGTGAAGCGGTGAATTAAAATACTAGGATTCCTAATGTTTTCATTCACCGCGTCACCAACTGATGTGGGAGAGTGAACATATGAGTGAGTCACCACGGTAGGAAGCCCAGCTTGCTGTGAGCGAGGATCTGTGGCTGTCTGATGAGTGAAAACAGAAGAAAAACATTCGGGACTGAAGCTCCGTCATCACTGGCTGGCGACGTCACCGCCCCGCCCACCTCACAACCAGAGCGGGAAAACCCACCAGCTTGGGTTATACAGACGGGGCTCTGTGTGTGAAATAACACCAGTTGAATTATTACTTAAGTGTTGTTTGTGTGCATGTTGTTCAGTAGCTAATGCTATCATTAATATCATGGTTTTTATTATTTATTTTTCATAAACCCCACACACTGTGTGTGATGCGCGTTTGGGGAGCGCAGGCGCTGGTTTGGCGTGAGATTGGAGGTGTGGCGTGAGAGCGTGTGAAGAGGGTCAAATGCGTGTCTCACGCTCAGTGCGTGAGAGTATCTGTAACTCATCTGTTGCTGCAGAGTAACTGTAACTTAGTAACTGTTGCTGCCTCTGGGCCAGGACTCCATTGGAAAGAAGGTTTATAATCTCAGCGGGACCTTCCCGGTTAAATAAAGAATAAATAAATAAACAGAAAATAATGTTCTTTATTATTTATAATGAACACAGCCAGCGTGCTTTAGTGATGCTGGGGTTTGACCTCATGAACTTTAGCCGCAGCCAGCGTGTGAACTGTCCTCAGCAAGACACCGAAATCAACCTCCAACCACGAAACCGCGATTTCCGATTACAGTGAAGGCAGCACTGAAGCGTCACTGAAACCGAACTGGAAGCAGTGGAAGTGAGTTTCGGTTCCGTTCGGATGTGTTTTAAACCTGTTGGGGCTACCGGTGAACCCGCCCTGGGTTCGTTTGTCCGTCCCGACCGAAACCTGGAGAGTTTGGGTCGAATATCCAGCCACCGCGTGAGTTGTGTTTGTGGGCAGTTAGCAGCGAGTCCGTGGGACTTTCTGTCGTTACTTTTGTCTGTGTGTGTACTCGTCTTCACGCCAAAGTGAGGACCGATGACAGCTTTTACCTACAAACTGAGGACATTTGTGTGGTCCTCGCTCTGGTACAGTGTTACAGAGCTGTACTCGTTACGGTTAGGGGTGAGTGTTGCACCCGCCCATAGACTCTGATATACCTGCTCCACCTGCGCGAGCCTCACCTGAAACTCGTGGTTAATCACGCCAGAGATGTTGGCTGTTTCGTGGTTGTGCGCATCCTCACTTCCTGGTTCTGATAAATAAATTTCCCACCTGAGTTAACCTGAGCTGAGAAATGAGTTCTATCAGGCGCGCATGCGCATAACACGAAAGTAACGAGTGAAGGTTTGGTTGGTGATGGTACTGGTGCGGTTCTAGGACAGGGTTCCAGTCAAAGAGCCATTGTTACCCGTTTCTGCGGGGTTGTGGGCGGGGCTACTGGGCCTGAGCAGGTGTCGCTTTTTGATGCGTGACGTGTCTTCTTTTACAACATGTTTAAACTGTTCAGAATACAAATCCAGGCTCTGTCTCGGTGGGCTGTTGTGGGTGAACTTTACATCACTTAGTGATGGAGACCCAGCCCGACCAGGTAACGACACGGGGACCTGTCATTTCAGGTCTTTGTTGTTTAGATGGTAAAAGATGACAGTCGTTACATTTCGAATTAGCAGACATGAACACTTAATGCAGTTTATGAAATATTCATTCATTATTTTACAAACACATGAAAGAGCCGCGTCAGATGGATGAAAGAGCCGCATGCGGCCCCAGAGCCGCGGGTTGCCGACCCCTGGGCCAGGACAACCAACATGAATGAGACTGACCCAGATTCTGAATCTGGAAACTTGTCTGTTGTGCAGATCGGTCCAGATCCAGAAGAAGAAGGAACAAATTGATCCGGACAGACAATGTTGGAAAGCATCTCCACAGGTGAGTCCTAGGCAGCACCTGGTGAGGAACTCCAGATCTGATTTTGTGTGTGAGGTGGAGGTGGATGTTGGGTTAATGAATCCTGACATAACTACATCACCAGGTTACCATGGTAACCTAGATTGAACACTAGGTTACCATGGTAACCAGGATCCTGGTTCATTCAGGGACAGGTTTCTGTCTTTTCTAAAAGATTCTCCAGCTTGTTGGTTCTGATCCAAAATAAAAAGATCTGCATTACTTGGTTATTTTTCCAACACAGCAAAAGAGTTTTTACCTAGTTTTTACTGATGTTTGCTTGCTGCTGTTGGTGATGTCACTTCCTTCTCCGTGTATCCACGGGCTGCAGAGGACAGTAGCTGGGACGCCCGCTCGCTGGCTGACAGGCACTAGGGAGTGGACCATATTACCCCTCTACTGGCCTCTCTTCTTCGGCTCCGCATTGTGCAGACCAGTGGTTCCTAGCCTTTGTTGACTCGTGGACCCCCTGAGCCGTGTTCTCGTACCACGAGTACCCACTTAGTCAAGTGTGTTGACGATTCCCCAGAAGTAGAACACACAACTGATTATTAAAGGAAAATAATTTCATTAAATCTCCTTAACGCTGAACATCGTCGTACTCCTCAGGTGAAATCTTTAACTTCAACAATCCTCATGCAGGATCCAGAAAAAACTGACTCCATGTGGAAACTTTCCGGAGCTCTGCATCCAGATCTGCACCAGAACTTGTGTAAATGTTCTGATTGGACTCAAGCATTTCTGATCCAAGTGAAACTGGACCATGTTTCAGGTGTTATACAGGACCGTTTCAGGTGTTATATGTTACACAGGACCACGTTTCAGGTGTTATACAGGACCGTTTCAGGTGTCATACAGGACCGTTTCAGGTGTTATATGTTACACAGGACCACGTTTCAGGTGTTATACAGGACCGTTTCAGGTGTTATATGTTACACAGGACCACGTTTCAGGTGTTATATGTTATACAGGACCACGTTTCAGGTGTTATACAGGACCGTTTCAGGTGTTATATGTTACACAGGACCACGTTTCAGGTGTTATACAGGACCGTTTCAGGTGTTATATGTTACACAGGACCACGTTTCAGGTGTTATACAGGACCGTTTCAGGTGTTATATGTTATACAGGACCACGTTTCAGGTGTTATACAGGACCGTTTCAGGTGTTATACAGGACCATTTCAGGTGTTATATGTTACACAGGACCACGTTTCAGGTGTTATACAGGACCGTTTCAGGTGTTATACAGGACCGTTTCAGGTGTTATATGTTATACAGGACCACGTTTCAGGTGTTATACAGGACCATTTCAGGTGTTATATGTTATACAGGACCACGTTTCAGGTGTTATACAGGACCGTTTCAGGTGTTATATGTTATACAGGACCGTTTCAGGTGTTATATGTTATACAGGACCACGTTTCAGGTGTTATACAGGACCGTTTCAGGTGTTATATGTTATACAGGACCGTTTCAGGTGTTATATGTTATACAGGACCACGTTTCAGGTGTTATACAGGACCGTTTCAGGTGTTATATGTTACACAGGACCACGTTTCAGGTGTTATACAGGACCATTTCAGGTGTTATATGTTACACAGGACCACGTTTCAGGTGTTATACAGGACCATTTCAGGTGTTATATGTTACGCAGGACCACGTTTCAGGTGTTATACAGGACCGTTTCAGGTGTTATATGTTATACAGGACCACGTTTCAGGTGTTATACAGGACCGTTTCAGGTGTTATATGTTATACAGGACCACGTTTCAGGTGTTATACAGGACCATTTCAGGTGTTATATGTTACACAGGACCACGTTTCAGGTGTTATACAGGACCGTTTCAGGTGTTATATGTTACACAGGACCACGTTTCAGGTGTTATACAGGACCATTTCAGGTGTTATATGTTATACAGGACCACGTTTCAGGTGTTTTACAGGACCATTTCAGGTGTTATATGTTACATAGGACCACGTTTCAGGTGTTATACAGGACCGTTTAAGGTGTTATATGTTACACAGGACCACGTTTCAGGTGTTATACAGGACCGTTTCAGGTGTTATACAGGACCATTTCAGGTGTTATATGTTACACAGGACCACGTTTCAGGTGTTATACAGGACCGTTTCAGGTGTTATATGTTACACAGGACCACGTTTCAGGTGTTATACAGGACCACGTTTCAGGTGTTATACAGGACCGTTTCTGGTGTTATACAGGACCACGTTTCAGGTGTTATACAGGACCATTTCAGGTGTTATATGTTATACAGGACCACGTTTCAGGTGTTATATGTTATACAGGACCACGTTTCAGGTGTTATACAGGACCATTTCAGGTGTTATATGTTACACAGGACCACGTTTCAGGTGTTATACAGGACCATTTCAGGTGTTATATGTTATACAGGACCACGTTTCAGGTGTTATACAGGACCGTTTCAGGTGTTATATGTTACACAGGACCACGTTTCAGGTGTTATACAGGACCGTTTCAGGTGTTATATGTTACACAGGACCACGTTTCAGGTGTTATACAGGACCATTTCAGGTGTTATATGTTACACAGGACCACATTTCAGGTGTTATACAGGACCACATTTCAGGTGTTATACAGGACCATTTCAGGTGTTATATGTTACACAGGACCACGTTTCAGGTGTTATACAGGACCGTTTCAGGTGTTATATGTTACACAGGACCACGTTTCAGGTGTTATACAGGACCGTTTCAGGTGTTATACAGGACCGTTTCAGGTGTTATATGTTACACAGGACCACGTTTCAGGTGTTATACAGGACCGTTTCAGGTGTTATATGTTACACAGGACCACGTTTCAGGTGTTATACAGGACCATTTCAGGTGTTATATGTTATACAGGACCACGTTTCAGGTGTTATACAGGACCGTTTCAGGTGTTATATGTTACACAGGACCACGTTTCAGGTGTTATACAGGACCGTTTCAGGTGTTATATGTTACACAGGACCACGTTTCAGGTGTTATACAGGACCGTTTCAGGTGTTATATGTTACACAGGACCACGTTTCAGGTGTTATACAGGACCATTTCAGGTGTTATATGTTATACAGGACCACATTTCATATGTTATACAGGACCATTTCAGGTGTTATATGTTATACAGGACCACGTTTCAGGTGTTATACAGGACCATTTCAGGTGTTATACAGGACCGTTTCAGGTGTTATATGTTACACAGGACCACGTTTCAGGTGTTATACAGGACCGTTTCAGGTGTTATATGTTACACAGGACCACGTTTCAGGTGTTATACAGGACCACGTTTTAGGTGTTATACAGGACCGTTTCAGGTGTTATATGTTACACAGGACCACGTTTCAGGTGTTATATGTTATACAGGACCACGTTTCAGGTGTTATACAGGACCGTTTCAGGTGTTATACAGGACCGTTTCAGGTGTTATATGTTACACAGGACCATGTTTCAGGTGTTATACAGGACCGTTTCAGGTGTTATATGTTACACAGGACCACGTTTCAGGTGTTATACAGGACCGTTTCAGGTGTTATATGTTACACAGGACCACGTTTCAGGTGTTATACAGGACCGTTTCAGGTGTTATATGTTACACAGGACCACGTTTCAGGTGTTATATGTTATACAGGACCACGTTTCAGGTGTTATACAGGACCATTTCAGGTGTTATATGTTACACAGGACCACGTTTCAGGTGTTATACAGGACCGTTTCAGGTGTTATATGTTACACAGGACCACGTTTCAGGTGTTATACAGGACCGTTTCAGGTGTTATATGTTATACAGGACCACGTTTCAGGTGTTATACAGGACCGTTTCAGGTGTTATACAGGACCGTTTCAGGTGTTATATGTTACACAGGACCACGTTTCAGGTGTTATACAGGACCGTTTCAGGTGTTATACAGGACCGTTTCAGGTGTTATATGTTATACAGGACCACGTTTCAGGTGTTATACAGGACCATTTCAGGTGTTATATGTTATACAGGACCACGTTTCAGGTGTTATACAGGACCGTTTCAGGTGTTATATGTTATACAGGACCGTTTCAGGTGTTATATGTTATACAGGACCACGTTTCAGGTGTTATACAGGACCGTTTCAGGTGTTATATGTTATACAGGACCGTTTCAGGTGTTATATGTTATACAGGACCACGTTTCAGGTGTTATACAGGACCGTTTCAGGTGTTATATGTTACACAGGACCACGTTTCAGGTGTTATACAGGACCGTTTCAGGTGTTATATGTTACACAGGACCACGTTTCAGGTGTTATATGTTATACAGGACCACGTTTCAGGTGTTATACAGGACCGTTTCAGGTGTTATACAGGACCGTTTCAGGTGTTATATGTTACACAGGACCATGTTTCAGGTGTTATACAGGACCGTTTCAGGTGTTATATGTTACACAGGACCACGTTTCAGGTGTTATACAGGACCGTTTCAGGTGTTATATGTTACACAGGACCACGTTTCAGGTGTTATACAGGACCGTTTCAGGTGTTATATGTTACACAGGACCACGTTTCAGGTGTTATACAGGACCGTTTCAGGTGTTATATGTTACACAGGACCACGTTTCAGGTTTTATACAGGACCGTTTCAGGTGTTATATGTTACACAGGACCACGTTTCAGGTGTTATACAGGACCGTTTCAGGTGTTATATGTTATACAGGACCACGTTTCAGGTGTTATACAGGACCGTTTCAGGTGTTATACAGGACCGTTTCAGGTGTTATATGTTACACAGGACCACGTTTCAGGTGTTATACAGGACCACGTTTCAGGTGTTATACAGGACCGTTTCAGGTGTTATATGTTACACAGGACCACGTTTCAGGTGTTATATGTTATACAGGACCACGTTTCAGGTGTTATACAGGACCGTTTCAGGTGTTATACAGGACCGTTTCAGGTGTTATATGTTACACAGGACCATGTTTCAGGTGTTATACAGGACCGTTTCAGGTGTTATATGTTACACAGGACCACGTTTCAGGTGTTATACAGGACCGTTTCAGGTGTTATATGTTACACAGGACCACGTTTCAGGTGTTATACAGGACCGTTTCAGGTGTTATATGTTACACAGGACCACGTTTCAGGTGTTATACAGGACCGTTTCAGGTGTTATATGTTACACAGGACCACGTTTCAGGTGTTATACAGGACCGTTTCAGGTGTTATATGTTACACAGGACCACGTTTCAGGTGTTATACAGGACCGTTTCAGGTGTTATATGTTATACAGGACCACGTTTCAGGTGTTATACAGGACCGTTTCAGGTGTTATACAGGACCGTTTCAGGTGTTATATGTTACACAGGACCACGTTTCAGGTGTTATACAGGACCGTTTCAGGTGTTATACAGGACCGTTTCAGGTGTTATATGTTATACAGGACCACGTTTCAGGTGTTATACAGGACCATTTCAGGTGTTATATGTTATACAGGACCACGTTTCAGGTGTTATACAGGACCGTTTCAGGTGTTATATGTTATACAGGACCGTTTCAGGTGTTATATGTTATACAGGACCACGTTTCAGGTGTTATACAGGACCGTTTCAGGTGTTATATGTTATACAGGACCGTTTCAGGTGTTATATGTTATACAGGACCACGTTTCAGGTGTTATACAGGACCGTTTCAGGTGTTATATGTTACACAGGACCACGTTTCAGGTGTTATACAGGACCGTTTCAGGTGTTATATGTTACACAGGACCACGTTTCAGGTGTTATACAGGACCGTTTCAGGTGTTATATGTTACACAGGACCACGTTTCAGGTGTTATACAGGACCGTTTCAGGTGTTATATGTTACACAGGACCACGTTTCAGGTGTTATATGTTACACAGGACCACGTTTCAGGTGTTATACAGGACCGTTTCAGGTGTTATATGTTACACAGGACCACGTTTCAGGTGTTATACAGGACCGTTTCAGGTGTTATATGTTACACAGGACCACGTTTCAGGTGTTATACAGGACCGTTTCAGGTGTTATATGTTACACAGGACCACGTTTCAGGTGTTATATGTTATACAGGACCACGTTTCAGGTGTTATATGTTACACAGGACCACGTTTCAGGTGTTATACAGGACCACGTTTCAGGTGTTATACAGGACCGTTTCAGGTGTTATATGTTACACAGGACCACGTTTCAGGTGTTATACAGGACCGTTTCAGGTGTTATATAGGACCGTTTCAGGTGTTATATGTTACACAGGACCACGTTTCAGGTGTTATATGTTACACAGGACCACGTTTCAGGTGTTATACAGGACCGTTTCAGGTGTTATATGTTACACAGGACCACGTTTCAGGTGTTATACAGGACCGTTTCAGGTGTTATATGTTACACAGGACCACGTTTCAGGTGTTATACAGGACCACGTTTCAGGTGTTATACAGGACCGTTTCAGGTGTTATATGTTACACAGGACCACGTTTCAGGTGTTATACAGGACCGTTTCAGGTGTTATATGTTACACAGGACCACGTTTCAGGTGTTATACAGGACCACGTTTCAGGTGTTATACAGGACCGTTTCAGGTGTTATATGTTACACAGGACCACGTTTCAGGTGTTATATGTTATACAGGACCACGTTTCAGGTGTTATACATGACCGTTTCAGGTGTTATACAGGACCGTTTCAGGTGTTATATGTTACACAGGACCACGTTTCAGGTGTTATTCAGGACCGTTTCAGGTGTTATATGTTACACAGGACCACGTTTCAGGTGTTATATGTTACACAGGACCACGTTTCAGGTGTTATACAGGACCGTTTCAGGTGTTATATGTTACACAGGACCACGTTTCAGGTGTTATACAGGACCGTTTCAGGTGTTATATGTTACACAGGACCACGTTTCAGGTGTTATACAGGACCGTTTCAGGTGTTATATGTTACACAGGACCACGTTTCAGGTGTTATACAGGACCATTTCAGGTGTTATATGTTATACAGGACCACGTTTCAGGTGTTATACAGGACCGTTTCAGGTGTTATATGTTACACAGGACCACGTTTCAGGTGTTATACAGGACCATTTCAGGTGTTATATGTTATACAGGACCACATTTCATATGTTATACAGGACCATTTCAGGTGTTATATGTTATACAGGACCACGTTTCAGGTGTTATACAGGACCATTTCAGGTGTTATATGTTACACAGGACCACGTTTCAGGTGTTATACAGGACCATTTCAGGTGTTATATGTTACACAGGACCACGTTTCAGGTGTTATACAGGACCATTTCAGGTGTTATATGTTACACAGGACCACGTTTCAGGTGTTATACAGGACCGTTTCAGGTGTTATACAGGACCGTTTCAGGTGTTATATGTTACACAGGACCACGTTTCAGGTGTTATACAGGACCGTTTCAGGTGTTATATGTTACACAGGACCACGTTTCAGGTGTTATACAGGACCACGTTTCAGGTGTTATACAGGACCGTTTCAGGTGTTATATGTTACACAGGACCACGTTTCAGGTGTTATACAGGACCGTTTCAGGTGTTATATGTTACACAGGACCACGTTTCAGGTGTTATACAGGACCACGTTTCAGGTGTTATACAGGACCGTTTCAGGTGTTATATGTTACACAGGACCACGTTTCAGGTGTTATATGTTATACAGGACCACGTTTCAGGTGTTATACAGGACCATTTCAGGTGTTATATGTGACACAGGACAACGTTTCAGGTGTTATACAGGACCATTTCAGGTGTTATATGTTACACAGGACCACGTTTCAGGTGTTATACAGGACCGTTTCAGGTGTTATATGTTACACAGGACCACGTTTCAGGTGTTATACAGGACCGTTTCAGGTGTTATATGTTACACAGGACCACGTTTCAGGTGTTATACAGGACCGTTTCAGGTGTTATATGTTACACAGGACCACGTTTCAGGTGTTATACAGGACCACGTTTCAGGTGTTATACAGGACCGTTTCAGGTGTTATATGTTACACAGGACCACGTTTCAGGTGTTATACAGGACCGTTTCAGGTGTTATATGTTACACAGGACCACGTTTCAGGTGTTATACAGGACCACGTTTCAGGTGTTATACAGGACCGTTTCAGGTGTTATATGTTACACAGGACCACGTTTCAGGTGTTATATGTTATACAGGACCACGTTTCAGGTGTTATACAGGACCATTTCAGGTGTTATATGTTACACAGGACAACGTTTCAGGTGTTATACAGGACCATTTCAGGTGTTATATGTTACACAGGACCACGTTTCAGGTGTTATACAGGACCGTTTCAGGTGTTATATGTTACACAGGACCACATTTCAGGTGTTATACAGGACCGTTTCAGGTGTTATATGTTACACAGGACCACGTTTCAGGTGTTATACAGGACCGTTTCAGGTGTTATATGTTACACAGGACCATGTTTCAGGTGTTATACAGGACCACGTTTCAGGTGTTATACAGGACCGTTTCAGGTGTTATATGTTACACAGGACCACGTTTCAGGTGTTATACAGGACCACGTTTCAGGTGTTATACAGGACCGTTTCAGGTGTTATGTGTTACACAGGACCACGTTTCAGGTGTTATATGTTATACAGGACCACGTTTCAGGTGTTATACAGGACCGTTTCAGGTGTTATACAGGACCGTTTCAGGTGTTATATGTTACACAGGACCACGTTTCAGGTGTTATACAGGACCGTTTCAGGTGTTATATGTTATACAGGACCACGTTTCATATGTTATACAGGACCGTTTCAGGTGTTATACAGGACCGTTTCAGGTGTTATACAGGACCGTTTCAGGTGTTATACAGGACCGTTTCAGGTGTTATACAGGACCGTTTCAACCGTTTCAGGTGTTATACAGGACCGTTTCAGGTGTTATACAGGACCGTTTCAGGTGTTATATGTTATACAGGACCACATTTCATATGTTATACAGGACCGTTTCAGGTGTTATACAGGACCGTTTCAGGTGTTATACAGGACCGTTTCAGGTGTTATACAGGACCGTTTCAGGTGTTATACAGGACCGTTTCAGGTGTTATACAGGACCGTTTCAGGTGTTATATGTTATACAGGACCACATTTCATATGTTATACAGGACCGTTTCAGGTGTTATACAGGACCGTTTCAGGTGTTATACAGGACCGTTTCAGGTGTTATATGTTACACAGGACCACATTTCAGGTGTTATACAGGACCATTTCAGGTGTTATACAGGACCGTTTCAGGTGTTATACAGGACCGTTTCAGGTGTTATACAGGACCGTTTCAGGTGTTATACAGGACCGTTTCAGGTGTTATACAGGACCGTTTCAGGTGTTATACAGGACAAAACCAGCACAGAACAAACGTACAAAAGATCCCGTTTGATCAGAACTGCTGCATGAACTCCCATGATGCTCAGCACCTGGAACATGGAGTCTGCTAAACTCAACATCTAATTTAATCACAAGTATTTGGTTCCAGTTATGAGAGGTTTCTGGGTCAGAACCAGTGTTGGGCGGTTCTGACTCCACCCAAACAACAGCCAGTATTAACCCCTCCCCATATGTCCCCCCCAGTGTCCCTGGCAGAGCGCCAGCAGGTTCTTGGAGCTCTGGAGCGCCTGCAGGCCAAGCTGGTTCAGAAGGAGGACTGGACCCACAGCGACACTCTGGAGAACCTGAAGCAGACCCTCCAGAACCCGCTCTTCAACCACATCCTGACCCTGCAGCACTCCATCAAGCAGCTTCAGGACCAGGTGGGACAACACGGCCAGATCAGAACCACCAGAGTCCTTTCAGAACCAGGCTCATCTCTGATGGTTCTGATCTGGTTCTGGCCATTCTACAGTTAAAGTACAAACTGCATTCAGACCCTTGTGGTTCTGAGTGGAGTTGTTTGGACTCGACTCATTGGGTTTGCATAAGGAGCTTCGTGTCGGTGAGCTTTTACCCGGCCGTCTTAACCAGAACCAAACCAGAATGTTAGAAGCCCGGTTTGTCTGTGATCATACTTTGAATATTTCTTTACTTCCTGTCCAGGTTTCAAACCCGCAGAGTGGGTCCAGGTTCTGGTTCCTGTCGTCCTGCTGCTCGGTTGATCTGTACTTGTTTATTTTGGGCTGTCCTTGATGTTCCTTGTGTCTGTTCAGGCCCATGGGTCCTTTTGGCTCTGGCCTGAACAGGGTGATGATGTCACTCCTGAGGGCCGCTGCAGTCGGCCAATCAGACGTCAGCTTGGATGCTGAGTGTTTGAGAGCAATGCAGAACAGATGAGCACGACTTCATCCTCAGAAAGGTTTATAAACAGAGTTTATATGGAAGCTGATGCTGATATGTCTGTGCTGCTTCCAGGACTGAGCCAGGTGTAGCCCCGCCCACACCATGCACGGTGACCCCTCCCCCCCCAGCCATCAGCATTCAGCTGCAGCCCGCGCTGATGTCAACTCTCTACAATAAACAACCTGCAGCCAAATTAAGATAATGGGCCGAACCTCTAGCTTCATATTCTAAGTGCTGCGAAGGTCAGGCGGAGTCTGGATGCAGCGGGACGTTTCTCCGTCATTATTTACCCCCCAGATCTATCAGGCTTTAATATCTGGTGTGGTGGTTTGAGTAACGGCCTTGTCGAGGCGTATTGATGAAATGGGCCGGGATCCTGCTCCGTCAGCTCGGCCCAGATCAGCGGCAGACTGATAAGTTTCCACAATGTGAGTGTAAAGGTCATTAATACATTACCTGTTCAGAGGGAGTGAGCCTGCAGAGGAACCTATCGATTTTCCTCCCGCCTCTCCCTCTCTGCATCTTTACTTCATGTCTTTTTTACCGTCCTTGTGCCCCCCCACCCCCCACCCCCACTCTTGCTGCCGGCCGGCCGGCCTTTGTAACGTTTTGAAGGCGGTTGTGTTTAATAAATAGTCAATAGATTATAAAGGAACCCAATAAAATGTCATTTCCATAAGAATGTGGATTATCAGGATTATTCAGCCTTTAATATTCGATGATGAAACTCGGTACTCTGGTTAATCAGGGAAACAACACGATAATAATCCGACACAGAGACTATATTTCTACGACTAATGATCATACAGGATGAGTGACTGTAAATGATTTATGTTTCTGCATTTAGCAGACGCTTTTGTCCAAAGCGACGTTCAAGTGATTTAACTGAGACCATGAATAAACTGATGAAACATGATGTTAAAGTCCCATCAGTGTGTGACGTGTGTTCTCCACATCTGACCCATCCCCTGGGCAGCGGTGAGCTGCAGACACGGCCGCACTCAGGAGCCGTTTGGTGGTTTTACCCCCAATCCAACCCGTAATGCTGAGGGTCCAGCAGGGAGGTGCTGGGTCCCGTTTTAAAGTCTTTGCTCTGACCCGACGGGGAATCGAACCCTGATCTCCCAGTCTCAGGGCGGACACTCTACCACTAGGCCCTGTTATATATCTGGCAGCCATGAGGGTTGTTTAATGAGGTATCTATCTAATCGTAACATCCAACGCCGGTGCAGAGCCTCCGTACCAGTGTAGTGGGAGTTCTCCGTAGATCCTGCCGGCATCAACGTCTGCTCAACACGGAGGGCAAGTTGTTAGGCTTCTAGGAGTTCACAGGTCGTAGGCCCCTCGAATCCGTACGGCTGGTCAGTAAGATACTCCCCTGGGTGACTGCTGGAAGCTGGTGGAGTCGTTGCTCGTCGGATTAATTGTTCTGCAGATTAAAACAAATAAGGGTTGTTTGATCTTGAAAAAGGATGGTTCTTACACCGCTACCATATTGCGTTGAAAAATGGTCAATGGTCAATGGCCTGTATTTATATAGCACCTTCTAGAGTCCTGGAACCCCCCAAGGCGCTTTACAACACAATCAGTCATTCGCCCATTCACACACACATTCACACGCTGGTGGTGATGAGCTACGATGTAGCCACAGCTGCCCTGGGGTGCACTGACAGAGGCGAGGCTGCCGAGCGCAGGTGCCACCGGTCCCTCCGAACACCACCAGCAGGCAACGTGGGTTAAGTGTCTTGCCCAAGGACACAGCGACAGACTGAGCGGGGCTCGAACTTGCAACCTTCCGATTACGGGGCGAGCTCTTAACTCCTGCGCCACCGTCTGATCCCCTAATGACAGATTTATTTAGCAAGAGTTAGCTTGAAACTAGAAAGTGTGATAGGCATTACCAAGAGTCCTCAGATCATTATGAAATCATCAAGTAGGTTCATTTGTTGTATTTAAGATCTGTAACAATGCATTTCAAGTATACACACTTGTTGAGTCGTTCATTACTGTAAAGTAATCAAGACATTTTAAAGTGACAATGTGTAGTTTTTATCACTAATTTCTGGAAATCTCCATCAAATTTTTGTTGAAAATGAATGAAATGATGCCCAGTTGTTGAAAAATATTGGTGGCTTTGTAGCATCTAACCATAAAAATCAGGTGTAAAATACATAGAGCAGGTATAGGCGACACAATATTAGACGCCATGTTTCCTTCTACGGGAGCCCATGAGGACAAAATGCATTTAATGATTTGTATAAATCGGTTACAAAACTTTCGTCATTCTCCTCGGATTTAATGAGACTTGACCGTTAGACTGCAGTCACTTTGAAAAACATTGGATATGTATCGGAATCAGTACCACGCATTCAAGTGACACGAATCAGATTTGAGAAAACCGGATCTGTGCGTTCAGACAGGAATCAGATATGGGTTGCATGTGGGAAAGAAATGTGATTTGATGCGCTTTTGCCTGCAGTGTGAATGTAGACTTAGACTCCTGATCCAGTCTGGTTTAGACTCTTGATCCAGCTGGGTTAAGACTCCTGATCCAGTCCGGTTTAGACTCTTGATCCAGCTGGGTTAAGACTCCTGATCCAGTCTGGTTTAGACTCTTGATCCAGCTGGGTTAAGACTCTTGATCCAGTCCGGTTTAGACTCTTGATCCAGTCCGGTTTAGACTCTTGATCCAGTCCGGTTTAGACTCCTGATCCAGTCCGGTTTAGACTCCTGATCCAGTCCGGTTTAGACTCCTGATCCAGTCCGGTTTAGACTCCTGATCCAGTCTGGTTTAGACTCTTGATCCAGCTGGGTTAAGACTCTTGATCCAGTCCGGTTTAGACTCCTGATCCAGTCGGGTTTAGCCTCCTGATCCAGTCGGGTTTAGCCTCCTGATCCAGTCGGGTTTAGACTCCTGATCCAGTCGGGTTTAGCCTCCTGATCCAGTCGGGTTTAGCCTCCTGATCCAGTCCGGTTTAGATGAGCAAGAAGTATTTGCTGTCAAGGAACAGATACTGAAACTTATCAGATTCCAGAAGAACCCAGTCCAGTTCTACGGAAGACTCGGTTCTTCGTGATGAAGCAGTGAGAACAGTTCTCTGGCCCTCTGGTTCTTTTAAGTGAGTTATGAAGATATAAGAAGGATCTTTTTGATTTTAAAGATTTATTTTCAAAAGCTGAACGTGTCAAACATTATATAACGGTTTTGGAAAGACGTTTATTTTAAAGTTACCTCCACAATGGAAATATTCTTCTGTTCCTGAAAGCTGATAAAGTGAATCTTCAAACTAGCTGGTTTGGAAGGCAAACATGGTAAACGAGCTGTATTTTATAGCACTTTTTTAGGGTTCTGCAACACCCCAAGGTGCTGCACAATGCAGTCAGTCATTCACACACTGGTGATAATGAGCTACAACGTAGCCACAGCTGTCAGAACAGAAAACCTGCAAAGCCCGTTATTAGTGGAGACTTTAAGACAAATGTGAATGAACCGCTATATGATATTTTTTATTGTTTACATCCCCACCTTATATTTATAGCTATACGATGTTAGAATGTTGTTACAAGGCTACAGATGTGTTCAAGCTTACTGGACCTATAAACGATACCCCCCACCCCTCCTAGCTTAGCAACATGCCTGCAGACCGCTCCGGTGACTTCAGCTTCTCCAGACGAGGTCAGCTGAACATGAGCACTATGGATCCAGCCAGCCAACTGACTCCGCCCACCCTGTCCACGTCGTCCCACCTGACCAATGGCTCAGCGCTGCTTTTCCATCAGACGCCACCCTCATCCGAGCACCTGCAGAGCTGGATCCTTGCTGCAGCAAAGGTAAGGAGTCAAACTGGGCCCTCGTTTATAAAACGTGCCGGTGCACACAACCAGATCTGAAAACTGTTTGTCATTTTCATGCAAACTTTGGGATTTATAAAAAACTCAATTGATGGGTAAAAAGTGGAAACTGTAAGCAAACTGGAGCATATTTTGGAGATGAGAACACTGGCAGGGCAGCCGGAGAAATGTTTATATTGCAAAACAAACCCTACTGAAAAGGTTTAGAAAGAAGCATTGAATAAAAGGTACTGATTCACAGGCAGTCAGATAAGTGACCAAACAAGCACCAGCAACAAGAACAACGCCGGTCTTCCACAAGGCTGGTTTTACTGAACACGTGTTTAACTTCATAACATGAAAAAAGGTTAATAATATAACTTAGATCATTAAATCTAAAGGAATCCACCCCACTACAAAAACGACGGCATCTAGTATTTTGTACGACCACCGGGATTTTCAAGGACCGCACCAAGTCTTCTAGACACGGGATGAACATGTTGCAACGTCTGTCTTTTCCATTCTTCAAGAAGAACCTCGTTTAGAGCCTGGATGCAGGATGGAGAGTGATGCTCTACTTGCTGCTTCAGAACTCCTCACAGGTGTTGGTTTGGCTTCAGGGATGAATCAGGGTGAACCCTCATCCATCCATTTTCATCCGCTTATCCAGAGTCGGGTCGCGGGGGTAGCAGCCTGAGGCGAGAGGCCCAGACTTCCTCTCCCCAGCCACTTGGGCCAGCTCCTCCGGGGGAATCCCAAGGGGTTCCCTAGCCAGCTGAGAGACATAGTCCCTCCAGCGTGTCCTGGGTCTACTTTTAGGTCTCCTCCCGGTTGGACTTGCCTGGAAAACCTCACCATGGAGGTGTCTAGGAGGCATCCTGACCAGATGCCCGAGCCACCTCGACTATCACTTTTCGATGTGGAGGAGCAGTGGGTCTACTCTGAGCAGTGGCGGATCTAGGATTTTTCTGAGGGTGGGGCCATCAGGGGGCCACAATATTCATAGAGGGGCCAAGTACAGTCCAACATACTTGCACACTATTCCCAGTTTTGTATGGTAGATGCAGTTTACCACCCCACCATGTTGAACAACATTAATGCAATTGTACATCAATTTTTACTGTACATTGACAAAATACAGCCACACTCAGCATTTGAGAAATTTTAACATTCAATTTATTTTGCAAAGCCACAAAAATCAGGTTAAGAGATGTTTGTGTGTGGAAAAAACACCAGAAGAATATCTTGGTAGGTCAAAGGAGGAAAGTGAACAGGCCTAGTCTTAAAAGTAGACAAGGTGTCTGCCTCACGGACTAAAGCTGGGAGCTGGTTCCACAGGAGAGGAGCCTGATAACTAAAAGATCTGCCTCCCATCCTAAGTTTAGATATTCTAGGAACCACCAGTAGACCTGCAGTCTGAGAGCGAAGTGCTCGGTTAGGAACGTATGGAACAATCAGATCACTGATGTATGATGGAGCTTGATTATTAAGAGCTTTATATGTGAGAAGAAGGATCTTAAAATCTATTCTGAATTTGTCAAACAGAAGAGGGATGATCTCTCTTTTTAACTCCCACATTAATGATCCTAACTGTAGCACAGCAGTAGAGTTCATGTCTATTAGGGAGTCTTAACTTATAGCAGCACGTTTCAGGCCCCACACACTAAACGAGACGCACTCTAGGTCTTGTTTTCTCCTTGGGGTTAAAAGTCAATCACTCACATGTTGAAGTCCATGTGAGTGACCACAGCTGCATTTTCTTTAATGTCCTAATGTTTATCCTGTCCCTCACAACCTAAAATCAAAGAGACGTATCAATAATCAGTCAGCAGTGGATGGATTTTCTAGCTTATTGGACTGCAGCTCAGTTCAGGGTGATGATCCAAGCTTGTTCATCCAGTCATTGGATAGGCTATGCTGTAGTATCTTAGATAAAGTAACTCCCATTAAGCAGATCGTTTTATCTAACAGGAGGACAAGTCCTTGGATTAATCAGAACATTTAGAGTCTCAGAAGGACATGCAGCAGAGCCGAGAGACGCTGGAAGTCGACTAGATTAGAAAGTCACTGGCTGCACTTTAAAAGTCCTGCTTGCCACCATAAACCAGATAGTTTCTCCTCACGCTCCTCTTATGCCAGTTTACTCCAGGTCTGACTGTAACAACTGTCTAGCATTCTTTGAGAATAAAATCAGAAATATCACCCTCATCTACTTCTTTACCCCCACCCCCATCTAACCCCCTCCCTCCCAACCATGGTCTGTCTTTACTCCTGTAGATTTCCAGGACATGTGCCTCATTCAGAAACATATGAAACCAACCTCATGACCTGCTGATTTCATTCCTACTACCTTGTTCATCAGGATGTTTGACCAAACTGACCCATACTTTGTAGATTTTATTCATTTAACTCAACAATCTACAAGCCTATGCTGTCGAGAGCCCACCTGGAGCCTCCATGCTCCATGCTTTTGTAAACTCTAGGCTTGATTACTGCAACTCTGTATGCAGGACTGGGTCAGTCATAACAGCGCCGCCTACAGGTTGTGCAGAACAGCGCAGCCAGGTTTCTGACTGGGACCAGGAAACGGGACCACATCAGTCCTGTTCTGGCCTCCCTGCACTGGCTTCCCAACTGTTATCGTTCTCGCTTTAAACTCCTGGTCTTTAAACATCTTCGGCACATTCTTGCTGTGTTGCTTTTCTAACTGCACTGTTGGTTCTTTTTTAAAACAGAAAAAGTTTCTAATTATTTTGCTGACAGTTTCGTTTGCGGCTGCAAACATCCTCAGAGCTGACGCTGATGGTGGCATCACTTGGTCTTAATTTCCAATTTCTTCCAGGGTGGTGTCCGTCCCCCAAATCTGGCTCTGGACCTTCTGTTTTCAAACATGAGGTTATTGAACCTACCCTTAAAAAAACAAGTTTGGACTCATCTCAGCCTAAAAACCACAGACCCATCTCTAAATGACCCTTTATCTCTAAGATATTGGAAAAGGTTGTGGCGGATCAGCTGATGACTTTTCTGGAACTACACAACAGTTCTGATCAATTCCAGTCTGGTTTTGGTAAAAAGCGTTCAGCAGAAACAGCTTAGCTTAAAGTTTCCAGTGACATCATGACGGCTGCAAACAACGGGGAGCTCACAGTGTTAGTATTGTTAGCTCCTTCTGCAGCTTCTGACTCTGTTGATCACAGCACCTTAATAACAGACTTGGTGACTCGGTGGGGATCTCTGGAACTGGTCTAGACTGGTTTAGATCGTACCTTTCTAACAGAAGTTACAGTGTCTGTAGAAACCACATCATGTCAGATTCTACCCATCTGTTCTGTGGGGTACCCCAAGGCTCTGTTTTGGGTCCACTGTTGTTTCTGCTGTACATACACCCTCTTGGACAGATACTTGATTCTTTTCATAATGTCTCTTATCACCTATATGCAGATGATATTCAGCTGTACTGCTCCTTTAAGGATTCTGAGTTCTACAAACTGTCTGAATTACTAGAGTGTCTATCAGCGATCACCAGCTGGCTAGAAGATAACTTCCTTCAGTTAAACCCTGAAAAGACTGAATATCTGATCATTGCCCCTGAGAGCACGGTTCCCCTGATTACTGTATTGACCCAAATTTATGACGAGTTTTTTTTCATTGAAAATAATTTTAAAACGTGGGGTCATGTTATAATCAGGGTCTAAGCATTCACACATACTGATATTTGTCTGGGGTCATTACGCGCCCTTGACAGCAGAGGGTGCCAGGCTTTATGTTCTCAACAAGAGAAAAAAAATAGAGATGAGGCCCGAAGTAGAGTGGACTGAGAGTGGGGCAAGTTAACTAACCACTAAGGCAGAGTTATGATGGTAATTTTAAGATGATGGTGGACAATTCAGCAGAGGCACCAAACATTGCATGCATGGATGCATTGACAGTGACAATGACATTCACTGGGAGGTACTGGCAGGTGTAGCGATCTGATGATACACCAGGACCGCAACCGCATGAGAGTGAGTACAGCGAGGCAGAGGTCATATGTGAGTAAAAACATCTTTTGACTTTTTTAAAGACTTGGTCATTTATCCTCTGCCGTCAAGACGAACTTGAGGAATTTGGGTGTTTTTGACCAATCAATGTCTCTTGTAGGACACTCAGAAACGTTGGTCCAAAACTGTTTTTATCATTTAAGAAACATCTCCAGACTGAGAAGGTTGGTGTCCAAACATGAACCTGAAATGGTTCTCCATGCCTTCATCTCCTCCCGTCTAGATGACTGTAACACACTCTTCACATGTTATAAACTAAAAGCCCTTGACCGCCTTCAGTTGGTCCAGAACTCTGCAGCGAGGCTCCTAACTGGAGCAAACGGAAGAGCACACATCACTCCTGTTCTGGTGTCTCTGCACTGGTTACCCGTTAACTTTAGAGTTCAGTTAGAGTCCTGACTAGAACCTTCAGGGCTCTACATGATCAAGCTCCTCCCTATATTACTGACCTGTTAAAGCCTTACGCTCCGACCCGAGCCCTCAGGTCCAACCACCAGAACCTTCTAGAAGTTCCAGATACAAAAGCGGAGGTGATCGCTCCTTCCAGACTCTGGAATGATCTTCCTTTATCCGTACGCAGCGCTGACGGTCTGAACACTTTTAGTTAAAGCTGTTTTTAACTAAACCTTTTATTTTCTTATTTTTAACTCAAACTTGTAATCATCTTTCATTTGTTTAACTTCATTTATTTACTGATGTTAATCTCTTTTTGTTTTGAGATCATTGTGTTTTAATGACTCTGGATAAACAGAAGAAATTGGATGGATAGATATGTTTTATTGTGTTCTCACCTGTGTGAATCACTGTGATTCTGTGTCTGTGATGAGTGGTATGTAAATAAAATGTACCTGCTTACTTACCTTTTGTGTCGGCAGGGCCGTCAGACCCAGCTGATTAGACTGACCCGACCCGTTTCTGGTGGACTGGGCTTCAGCGTGGTGGGTCTGAGCCCACCAGGAAAAAGCAGTCAGGGCGTGTTTGTCAAGCATATCCAGCCTGGAGGAGTTGCACACAGGTGAGCCCACACACCTATAAATCAATTCAGAGCTGAAAGTAGAGTCCATGTGACCCAGTTAGAGGTAGAATCTGACTTGTTTATGCATTTTCATCTGCTTATCTGGGCCTGGACTTCCCAGCACCGCCACCGGCTCCACTAGTGGGATCCCAGGGCACTTTCAGGCCGACGTGGCAGCATGTCCTGGGTCGACCTTGGAGGCTCCAGCTGGGAGAGCGATGCTGTCTGGGGCTTTTAGCCCCGGTAGGGTCTCTCGTGGAAAATTGTTCTTAGGTGAAGGGTCAGATAAAGAGAAGTTTAGAAGACTTTTCATGAGTTTAGCATCAGAAAACTAGAGTAGCCAGTCTGGAGGTTACCAAGTTCCCACCTGGAGCCATGCCTCGGGGTGGGGCACACAAGAATAATAACAATAAGATACTTTACTTGTCGGGAAATTGCATTATTGTAACAGCTCAAGGACGGAGGAAAGCAGTAGCACAAAACACATCACAGGAGAGTATAATGTGTGTGGCAGGGCCCAGCCAGAATCACATACATAGGCCCCCCCTCCTGCAGACCGCCGCCTGCAGCAGGAACATGAAGGCTCTAGTGGGAGTTGGGTAGCAGACCAGAACGAAGGCCTTTGTGGTCTAATCCCGTTAATCTAGTCAGTATTCAGAAAAAGTTCAAGATGAGTTTGATATAAAAGGGATGATTTCAAAAGTTAATTAAAATAGAGTTCGTCATCTAAATAACCTGAAGAATCAGTAGACACGGATCCTTTCAGAAGAACTGTTACTGAAACCTGTTGGAGAACGTTGGACCATTGGAGACGGATCATTGGGGAAAAACTGTTTAATATGTGCAGTCATGTGACCCGTTGTCCTTTGCATCTGGACATGTTGAGTAAATCTGTCAGTGGCCGTTTGGGATCTGTGGTACCACCTGAAGAGGTTTGATCAGAACCACTGCAGGCTGAAACAGTCAGAGGTGAAGTGATTCAGCAACCAGAGCAGGAAACAACTAAGAAAAGAGAAAGATCTTTTATATAAGCTCCTCTCAAGATGAAAATCACGAGGTGCTTCATAAAACAAAAAATTTATAATAAAAATTTATTTTAAAAAATTGTTTAAAATATGGTTAAAGTGTGAAATAATTAAATAAAAAGTTCTAATAAAATATGTAAAAAAGGGGAAAGAGAAAATGAAAAGGAAAGAGGGAATTCAGTGGGGAGAGCAGAACAAGGAGAGGGTCATGGAGGTCCCACCAAAGCCTGAACAGGTGAGTTTAAAGGAGACCTCTGAGTCCACTGGTCTCAGGCTCAGGGGGAGAGAGCTCCAGAGTCTGGGGGCCACAGCAGCAGATGATCTGTCACCTTTGACCTTTAGCCTGGTGCTGCACAACCAGTAGGCTTTGGTCACTGGACCTCAGGGACCTGCTGGGGGTGTAGGGACTAAGAAGATCACCAATGTAAGATGGTGCTTGTCCATGTAAGGCCCTATAGACCAGAACCAGGATCTTGAAATGAACCCTGAAGGTGACTGGCAGCCAGTGAAGCTGGAGGAGAAGCGGGGTGATGTGGGTGTGTTTGGAGGACTTGGTCAGAAGCCGAGCACAGGCGTTCTGAACCACCTGTAGACGGTTCAGGGAGGTTCTGCTCAGACACGTGAAAAGAGAGTTACAGTAGTCTAAGCGTGAGGAGATGAAGGTGTGGAGAACTGTCTCAAGTTCAGAGCGGGACAGGATGGGACTCAGCTTAGCAACGTTGGACGTGGACAAGCACTCAGTTTTTATGCATTGCCCTTCTACATCATGGATAGGAGATCTCAAGGACTTGGGTTGGAGAGCAAGATTCTAGAAGCTAGTCAATATCTGCTCATCAGAGGTTTACTGTAGAACAGAACCAATGGTTTGCTTTTTTCATATTGTGTCTGGTAACTTGGCTACGGTAATTTTATCTAAATTAACTAAAACGCGACATATCACTGACCTTCCTGTCAAATATTGATGAGTTTCTTGTCTCTGACGGCATCTCACTGCAGAGATGGATGTCTGAGAGAGAGGGACCAGATTCTGGTGATCAATGGAATTCCTCTGGAGTCGGGGATCAGTCAGCACCAGGCGCTCAGCCTCCTCCAGCAGCCCAGTGAATCCGTGGAGCTAGTGGTGGCCCGGGACCCACCTTCAGAACCCTCATCACCACAGGCCACACCCATAAACATGGTAAGACTCCTCTGTGGGAGGACGCACTTCGCAAAGTAAACATTACAATTGAGCGTACTTGTCAGCACTGTTGGGCATCTTATATTTTAAACGTAATTGGTTATAGTTACAAGTTAGTTTTTCCAAAAGCTATTTGAGTTAGTAACTCAATTACCACATTGTAAGAGTAATTAGTTACCTAGCAATGTAATTGTCACGTTATTTTTAGTGTTCTGTAACAAATTTACAATCTTTAACGTTGGTTGGAGGTCTTGCTGCGAGCGCAGGTGTCGCAGGCCGCCGTAAACACTCCTGACGTCTCTGGCCATGGATGGCCACCAGAGGGCGTGTCGGAGAAACTGCAGGGTACGGGCGCCTCCGGGGTGTCCGGAGAGCTTTGAGGACTGGCCCCAGGCAAGGGCATCCTTCCGGCACTGAGCGGGCATGTAGAGACGATGAGGAGGGGTCTTGGAAGGTGCCGGGTCGTGGGCGAGAGCCTGGCGGATGGTGGTAACAGTCTGCAGCTTTGCAGCTCTCACCCTTGACCTCAAATCATAAATATAATAAAATGTGGACTAAAACGTGAATTTTAGCATGTAGACTGTTGCTGGGGGGCATGAGGCTACAATGGGGGGGTGGTCCTTTCTCATCTGCAGGCATTTCAAGGTTAAACTTCATCCTGTTGGAGAACTTTAAACCCTTTTTACAGTACTTGACTGTTGTGTACACTTCTGCATCAAATAAAGACCTTATTAGATTTGTTATTAGTTTAGTAGTCGGTGCCTCCTTTATGGGCAGCGATTTAATAACGGTGTTGATGCACCAGAGTCCAGAATAATCAGGTCGTGTGACTGAAGAGGACTGGACGGTCCTGCTGAAGTTCTTCTCTGGTGGTTTAGCTCCTCTGTGTTGTTGTTCCTCCCAGTTCCCGGGCGTTTTAGGGTCCTATAAATCCCCTCCTGACTTCTGCAGCTCGTCTCCTAATTGCTGCTCTGATAATATTCACAAAATAGACAGAAGCTGTAAAATCATCTCCGAGCTTCTGATTTACTGGTGCCTTTATGGCTCATTTTTACAGTTTCCTGTTGGCGTCAGAAGGTTCCAGCAGAACGAAACTGGTGGGCTGTGACGGCCGATCAGGCGCCCCTGAAGCCACCCAGCTGAACAGCAGCTATAAAAGCAGAGGGGGAGTTGGTTTTATGGCCACGCCTCCATTAAATGTGACCTCAATCCAAACGGGACATGAATAAAACAAAAGCAGGAGGGACGGGGGGCCATCGTAATGACCCAACAACAGAAGCCAGCCGAATCATTAGAGCTGGGCAGAACTGCTCAGATGATTAACTGCATTCTTCTTTCAGACACCAACTCGTTCTTCTCTATCAACTCTTTCTCTTGGAGGTTTGAATATCAGAGTTCTGCTGTTTGTCTTCCCTGTTCTGGTCCTGGCCCAAAACTCCCACTGCAAACCAATCAGACCTTAATCAGGTCCATCAGAACCGCTAATAGTCTCGGGTCCTCAGAGAACACGTCGTCTTTCCTATAGGCTGGTTCTGACTTGCTGGTTTCAGGTGTCTCCTCTTCATGTTCAGATTTCAGGAGTCTGGATTTCCTGAGTTTAGACTTGGGTACAGGTGGACCTGTGGAGGTGGTCCTGAAGGTCTCAGCCTGTCCACTTCTGTTTCCTCTGCAGGACCAGTGGGGTCATGTGGAGGAGATCGAGCTGGTCAATGATGGGTCCGGTCTGGGCTTTGGCATCGTGGGCGGGAAGACGAGTGGAGTGGTGGTGCGGACAGTGATCCAGAACAGCGTGGCGGACCGGGTGAGTCAGAACCAGCTGATGTGTCCAACAGGTTTTATTTGGACCAGGAGAACTCGGGTGGAATTCAAATTTGAGCCACAGCTGACCCGAGAAAGAGGCGGGGCTTAAATGGTTGACTCTGTTAAAGGATAACTAGCACACGTCTGGAGTCTGATTACTGTAAGCGTAGGTCAAAGTCCATATTACACTAAAATATCAGCAGTGGTTCCAGAGTTCACCAGAACCACAACCTGATCAGTACTGGACCCGCGAGAAGGTTGAAGATTTTAGGGTCAATGAAACACCGACGATTTTATTTTATAGACAACATGGCCGCTCTAGTGTGTTCATCTGTGGGCTGCGTTTGATACCACTGACCATGACACGTTGTTGTCCAGTTTGGAGTTACCAAGGATTTTATCAACAACCCAGTGCCTGCAACCAGAGAAAAGTAAACGAATGACAGACAAGTATCCAGATTACAATGAGGAGGCAGAAGCTACAAGGCTACTGCCCCGTGTGTGTGTGTGTGTGTGTGTGTGTGTGTGTGTGTGTGTGTGTGTGTGTGTGTGTGTGTGTGTGTGTGTGTGTGGGTGGGTGTGTGTGTGTGTGTGTGTGTGTGTGTGTGTGTGTGTGTGGGTGGGTGGGTGGGTGGGTGGGTGTGTGTGTGTGTGTGTGTGTGTGGGTGTGTGTGTGTGGGTGGGTGGGTGGGTGGGTGTGTGTGTGTGTGTGTGTGTGTGTGTGTGTGTGAATAAATGAGCATGCATTTAGGCATAGAGACATACCTATTACATTCAGGTGATTGGATCAATGATCAAGAAATAATAATCATAACATCTCCATAACATATTCCCCCTGTTTATGGGATATTTACACAACATGCATGAAATTTTATCCACTTTCATAACTTGTCACCATTTTCTATGAAAGCTTCATTAATCACGACCTAAGGAATGGGGAAAGGGTAAAAACAGGAAAGGTGATCATCTCAGTGGTCATGAGGGCCAATAGGGTACAAATCAAGCAACTCAAGACAAAAACGATGAGCATCAAACAAGATAAAGAATGATAATAAACGCTAGGATGACATATGAAAGGTTCAGAATCAACACGACGAGGTGGGAACACAGCGTGAGGCGCTGCATTCGTTTGTCCATTACGGATCGTAATCTCAATCCTGATAACTTCGTCCAAAGAGTCATTCCATACAAGTGTAGTACATAAACCAGCAAAATAATAAGAACAAATAAAATAATAAGCATGGTAAGGCAAACACAACTGACAATAATATCTTACAGCAGTTCACAGAGATGGAGAACAGAATCAGCTAAATCAACACAATTATAACCTTAAGAAAAGCCATTTCATGCATAACGTAACGTCACGAAATGGCCTGATTTTGAGATCCCACAGGTCAAATGCACAGCCAGGTCAACCTACCCTGGCTATGACACGTCACGTATTTTCCCCTCACAGGTGACTCGAAGTCTGCACGTAGCCCCTTTAATCAGAGCCTACTTCCTCACACCAGCTGGACTGCAGCCCTGACAGAGATAACAATAAAATAAACAATAACAGTCTGTCCTCCAAGGTCCATCACAGAGGAACTCTTTAAAATAAACTCCTTTATTCCCAGAAAGAAGAAGAAAAGAAGATTTTATAATTAAAAATAATCATTGAATGAACTTTTTTATTGCTAATTATAAATAATGAAATGTTTCATTAATCTGTGCTCAGTGATTGTTTTAGTATGTTTACTTGACGAGGTCATAACATTTGCACTCACATGTAAAGTTAAGTTAACGCATGACACATACGTTAACCTTTGGCCTAGATTCAGAGTCTCCATCACAGAGGGTGTGTCCCTAAGATGCTTGGTAATATCTCTCAGACTTGTCAGCCCCTGATTGGCTGGCCAAACCATAATATCAGTTCTTTAAAACTAGATGGCTTTGGGTAATAAGTCAGTTCTAGAGCGAGCTTCAGACCGGCCATCTTTAGCACCTCTTTCACCAGAAGGATTTTGACACGTTGTGAAAACCTTGAACCTTTTTCGCACCTGCGAAGCTGAACAGCAAGATAGTTTCCTGCAGAACAAAGCTGACGCAAACTCCTTCAGAGTTATTTTTATGACGCTTGGTTTCATCTATCGTTGTGACCCGGGAGACATCCCAGGACTGATTTGGGCGCATCAAGGTTTTTCTACGAGTCAGGTGCAGTGGGGTCGTCAGCCCCGGGACATCTCGGATCCAACGGGGGTCTTCCAGAACGGGTGAGGTAGACACAGCGAGATAGCGTCTACATGTGGTTTTGATAATAACATCTTTATAGTTTATTTGCAAACCAAATTGTCTCCATCCAGAACTCAGCTTCTCATGATGGCACAGGAGTTAAGCGCTCACCCCGTAATCGGAAGGTTGCAGGTTCGAGTCCCGCTCTGTCTGTCACTGTCATTGTGTCCTTGGGCAAGACACTTAACCCACGTTGCCTGCTGGTGGTGGTCGGAGGGACCGGTGGCGCCAGTGCTCGGCAGCCTCGCCTCTGTCAGTGCGCCCCAGGGCAGCTGTGGCTACATCGTAGCTCATCCCCACCAGTGTGTGAATGTGTGTGTGAATGGGTGAATGACTGATTGTGTTGTAAAGCGCCTTGGGGGGTTCCAGGACTCTAGAAGTCGCTATATCAAATATAGGCCATTTACATGATTCTGACTCTGAATACATTATGTTCACACATAGGTTCCAAACACCATCTTAGTTCGCATCCACTAAAAGTAAATTATAGTTGAAACATTTGTCAAGTCTTAAGTGTTTGTAAAATAAATTCTTACTTTGTTTATGAACCTGACTCTTTATTGAATCAAAGCAAAGTGCGTACGATCCCTTAATTCAATTCAATTCAAAAATACTTTATTAATCCCAGAGGGAAACTGATTGCTGTAGTAGCTCAGGATAATAATTATAATCAGGTCATCAAAGAGTTGTTGTATATTACAATGGCTGTTGGCAGGAAGGATCTCCAGTAGCGGTCAGTGTTGCAGCCAAACTGAAGAAGCCTCTGACTGAAGACACTCTTCCGTTGTCGGACAGTCTTGTGAAGAGAATGCTCAGGGTTGTCCATCATGTTCTTGATTCTCTGGAGAATCCTTCTTTGCATGAGCTCCTCCAGCGGTTCCACAGTCGTCCCCAGAACAGAACCAGCCTTTTTTATTAGGCTGTTGAGCCTTTTCAGGTCCCTGCTTCTGATGCTGCTACCCCAACAGACGATGGCTGAAGAGATTACACTCTCAACAACAGACTTGTAGAAGATCTGCAGCATCTTGCTACAGACATTGAAGGACCTAAGCGTCCTCAAGAAGTGCAGTCTGCTGTGTCCCTTCTTGTAAACGGCTTCGCTGTTCTTTCTCCAGTCCAGTCTGCTGTCCAGGTGAACTCCAAGGTATTTGTATTCCTCAACCACCTCCACTTCTTCTCCCATGATGGAAACAGTGTTTGACTCCACCCTGTTTCTTCTGAAGTCTAAAATCATCTCCTTTGTTTTGTTCACGTTCAAGGTCAGATGATTGTTTCCACACCATGCCACAAAGCGCTCCAGCAGCTCTCTGTACTCAGCTTCCTGTCCATCTCTGATACACCCGACAACTGCAGAGTCATCTGAGTATTTCTGTAGATGACAGGTCTCTGATTTGTACTGGAAGTCTGAGGTGTACAGGGTGAAAAGGAATGGTGAGAGTACAGTCCCCTGTGGTGCTCCAATGTTACTGATCACCTGGTTTGATGTGCAGTTCTTCAGCCTCACAAACTGTGGTCTGTTTGTCAGGTAGTCTTTAATCCAGGCGATAGTTGAGGCCCCCACCTGTGTCTTCTGGAGTTTCTGGCAAAGTACATCAGGCTGGATTGTGTTAAATGCACGGGAGAAATCAAAGAACATGACCCTCACAGTGCTGCCTGCTTCGTCCAGATGATAGTGGGTTGGTTGAAGCAGCTGGATGATGGCATCTTCAACTCCAACTCCATGGCGATAAGCAAACTACAGCGGGTCCTGATATGTTCTAGTTTGCTTTTTCAGGTGGACCAACAGGAGTCTCTCCAGGACCTTCATGATGTGGGATGTCAGGGCAACCGGTCTGTAGTCATCATTGACTGATGGGCGAGTTTTCTTTGGAACTGGAACAAGGCAGGATGTCTTCCACAGGACTGGAACCTTCTCCTGGGCCAGGCTGAGGTTGAAGAGGTGCTGCAGAATCCCACAGAGCTGCTCTGCACAGGCCTTCAGTACTCTGGGGCTGACACCATCTGGACCTGCAGTCTTGTTCCTGTTCAGTCTCTCCAGCTGCCTCTTCACCTGACTTCTAGAGACAGATAGGTGGGAGGGGGAGGTAAATGGGGCAGCAGCATCTCCTGACTTGGTTGAAGACAGATTTATAGAACCAGAAGAGTCCATGACTGCGTTAGAGGACAAAAGAGCTGGCATGTGACAGGAAAATGTTGCATCAGAGGAGGATGGGATGTCTGATTGGCTGGGGACAGGCGAGGAGGATGCTGGGTTTGTTCCTGAACTGAACTTATTGAAGAACTTGTTCAGTTCATTGGCTGTGTCCAGGCTGCCATCTGTGCAATCCTTCCTCTGCTTGAAGCCTGTGATCTTCTTCATCCCTGACCAGACATCTCTGATATTGTTCCTCTGTAGTTTGTTCTCCAGCTTCTTCCTGTATGCCTCCTTGCTGTCTCTGATCTTGATCTTCAGTTGCTTCTGTATACTCCTCAATAATTCCCTGTCTCCCTCCTTGAAGGTTCTTTTTTTCTCATTTAGCAGATTCTTCAATTCACTGGTGATCCAGGGTTTGTTATTAGCAAAGCATCTCACTGTTCTGGTGGGTATGATGTTGTCCACACAGAAGTTTATATAGTCAGTGACACATCCAGTCATGGCATTGATGTCCTCTTCATATCCTTGGCAGAGAGTCATCCAATCTGTGGTCTCAAAACAACCCTGCAGGGCTTCTTCAGTGACCATTTTCTCAC